CACGATACAAAAGACATGAAAACCAACGAACCGGACTACAATAATCTTAAGAAACCGGAAAAGAGCCATGGATGCCACTTTCGGCGAAACAAAAAGCAACGGACAAAGTCGTTAGACAAAACTTCCGACCCAATCGAAATAGAGGGGAACAAAAAGAAGACAGACGGGGATGGAAGTGGTTCTCGCATTTCCCTAAGTTTGGCAAATCTGGATCATGCAAAGACCATCTGCACCAAAATAAAACAGCGATGGACGACACCAAAAAATTGAAGACAGTAATCGTATGGACTTACATACGCCACAAAAGAGAGCTAGCAGCTTACCCTGTACATGCCTTTCAGGCAGTAATACAATAAGTCATGTGAGGCAGCCAAATGAAGATAGTACGTCCAATTTCACGGACATGAGCAAATTAGCCGCAAACCCGGATGTAGCCATAAAGGCAGTCTCAGAGTCGGAGACCCAATCTACTGTCAAAGAAAGTAGGCAGGATGCAACCATCAGTTTTTCCCCGAGAGATCACGTTGTGTGGTAGTGCAAGGAGTTCCTGAAGCTCCTGGTGACACCCCGAAAGAGAGTTTAAAACACGATCTGCTGACATTCCAAAACTTACTGAATGACACCCAAAAATCCAAAATACGGTGGCCTTCACAACAGACACGGTGAGGAAAACTTTCAGTCAACTACAGTTCACTAAATCGCCTGGTCCATACGGCGTATTCGCAAAAGTCCTGAATGAACTCTCGGACTAACTGGCCTCTCTGTTATCCAGGATCTTCAAAACTTCGATGGAGACCGGGGCCCTTCCTACAGACTGGAAGCAAACCAATATATGCCCCATATATAAAGGTGGCGAGAGAGCAGCCCCGAACAATTTCAGACCAGTAACTCTCGTAAGCATCTGTTGCTAAGTGATGGAAAAGGTAATAAAAACGGAGCTGATGCGGCATCTTGAAGAGAACTGCTTGCTCAGTTTGCATCAGCATGGATTTCGAAGGGGTTGATCCTATCTTACTAACATGCTAATATCCATGGGAAACTGGACGAAATCAATCCAAACGGGTTTATCAGTCGACACCGTGTACATTGACTGCAGAAAGGTTGTTATCAGTGTTCCACACAGACGACTTATATTTAAGCTACGATAAATGGGCGTGAATGGAAATCTGCGGAAATGGTTAGCCGATTTTCTTACGGGAAGACCTCAGCGTGTGTGTACCGGTATCGCTAAATCGGAACGGGCATCCGTCGTCAGTGGCATTCCGCAGGGGAGCGTTCTGGGTCCAATTCTGTTCTTAATATATATATAAATGACTGCCTCGACTCTCTGAACTGCAAGCGCGCAATTTTTGCTGATGATTGTAAATAGTGAAATCCAATACAGAAGCCGGAAAACTCGCTACAGTTACAAAACAATCTGAATCGCTTGCAACAATGGCGTGATGAGTTGTGTCTTAACCTCGACCTTAACACATACCAACTTATCCGATTACGATATACCAACAGGAGGCCGTTAAGATTTGAATCTCGCCAATCTATAGGAGGACAGCAACTCGAATCAGTCAACGAGTTAAGAGACCTCGGTGTTCGGATGGCGCCAACTCTCGAACTATCGTCTCACTGCGTCAAGGAATCAAAGTGGGCTATGGATATCCTAAGCAAGATAAGAAGATCCTTCCTCAATTTTGACGAAGAACTTTTCGGCCGAGTATTTGGAACATTTGTTCGCCAATATTGGAATATTGCTTTCAGTCACGGGTTCCCTGGACGAAACAAGATTACGCCCTGTTGGAGAACGTACAAAGAACAGCAACCAGACTCACTGGTGGACTATGCTGCTTACCTTATGGGAGACGCCTGCAAAAGCTAAGAATATTTCTTCTCTTCTATAGACAATGCAGAGGGGACATGCTTGTGGCCTTAAGTATCGTCAGAAGGATAGCCTGTGCTCATCAGTTTGACGATTTCTTCGAACTGGCGCGAACGAGCAATCTTCGAGGCCACCAATACAAACTGACGATAAAGCACGTCAAACTTAAAGTGCAAACCAAATTTTTCTCCCACCGGCTGGTCGAAGGATGGGATGATTTACCGTACTTCATGGTCTTGGCGGAAAACATTGCAATGTGCAAAAAAAACTTGATAATTTTATGATCGATGATCAAATACTTACTCGATATCAATAACTGGCAAACATGGCATGTAAATATGCGCAAACTTTTCATCCGTCTATCTGTAAATAGGGTTTTCCATGGTTCCACCCATATTCCTTATATACACTGAATTATACTGAATTTATGAAATAAACGAAATTTGAAGTGAGGAGGAGTTGAGACCGCCTGCAACAAATAATGAGCTAATTACAAAACTTGACAGTGGCGGTAGAGCATCGTTCGGATTGAGCCGGACTATTTAAGGTAAAAATTCACGAATTGATCCTATGCTGACCTCGCGGACTGATTTGCTCACCTGGTGATAGATGCAAATGCACTCCAAAGACCGATTGAAACCCCTCGTAAGAAACTAGTAGTTCTAGGTACTTACCGTTGCACGGCATCATACAGACCACGTGAACCCCGAGCAGGATTTTTTTAGATGGATACCCAGTCACGCGCCATGTAACACGGTCGTTTTTAGTTGATTATGGCAGGCTGATGATACTGAAGAGACCGGGAATATTAAGAAAAAGATGGGCTCACCGGAACGGGTTTGGTTAGATGCTGACGTATCGAAGAACTTGGTCAAAGCGGAAAATGGATTTAATCGACTCCATGCCGATCCACTTTTCTCATCTCTCCCTGCCTCAGCCTCCCGGGGTATGATTGGCGGACGTTTTATCTGCATAATTTGTGAGTCACCGTTTCGTCGGATCGGTGAGTAAACCCTCGTCGGGTGGTCCGTCTGGTTGTTTATTTTTTTCCTCGCCGTGTAATCACGCCGTCGGGCTGTCTCTGTATGGCCTTCTTATGTCCAGTATAGTCACTTGGTCCTAAGTTCTACGAACGTGATGACGCCTGTTCATGGAGTTGGCATCAGAGTACCAAGCTTCGAGTGTTAGACGTTCTGTTTTCGTGTTACCCCGGCCTAAGATTGTAGCTCTTTGGAGATCGAAAGTACACCCAGTTTCTCCAGCGTATGTTGCTGGTTGAGAGTTTGGTTCTAGCCTCCGAGTCGCCGATTTATACTTTGGTAGGCGGATCTGCAGTTTCCGCCAAAATAACCATACTGGATTTAAGAAGGTCATACAGAGACAGCCAGACGACGAGTTTACTCGGCGAAAGGTAAAATGAATCACCAGACCGACCACCCGACAAACGTTCACTCACCTCGGCCCGACAAGCGGTGACTCACAAAGTACGCAAATAAAACACCAATTACCCGCCGAGAGACTGAGTCAGCGAGGGAAGAGAAAAATCGACAAGCATGCGGCCGACGAACGCGACTTGCCACTTGAAATTTCAGGTCGATTAAATGCATCTTACGCTTTGAAAATAGGGAACCGACTAAGTTCTTTGAAACGTCAGCACCTAAATAAACTCGTTCGGTGAACCCATCTTTTCCCTCAAATCATCAACCCAGATTTCTAAATTTTGTCAATCTGAGTCCGAAAATAGGCTCGTAGGCTAAATATTGGAACGTAAGACCGATCGGTTACTAATCTGAGCCTAAACACAAATGCCTTCAATGTTTCCGGCATCATACAACCTACGATTTATTGAGACTGATGCTTTTGTTTACATGGGAACGCGAATATTTGAATCCCATATATATATTGGCCTGCCAAGAACCCAATTATTTACCTTGCCTTGTGTCCCCCTTTATTTGTTGGCTACGTATTTCGGGGTCGCTATGGTCAACATTGTCATAAAGAAGGGTGATCAGCCTCAATTTTTACTCGAAACTCATGTTAAGACACCCATTAAAGAACTTATTGATACGGCATGTGAAATATACAATTATAGGCTGAAGGTATTTCGCATCGCCGACCACTTAAAGGAGCTAGCAGACCACGGTGTCACTCTCCCCCCAAACATGCAGGTTCTTGTTAACCAAAGGTCTCGGAACCAGTTTTTTAGGGTCTCACAGACGAGCAGATTGAAGAACTGAAATTGATTGACGAATGGGGGCAGAAGTGTATCCCCAGTGGAGGGTATATTGAGTGTAAGGACGACATTGGTCGCAGAAATGGGAAAGGTACCTCATACTACCAAGTGCCACTATTATTTTCAGCGCCGACGGAAACTATGGCAGCCGTACTCCGGAAAACCAGTGATGAGGCCAAGGCCTTAATTTCAAAGGTGCGTCGCCCACTTATGTCGACATCCCATTCATAGGATCTTGTGAAACAAAACCAGTTGATGAAGAAGGGAATTGTCCACGAGGCATTTATGATGCTCAGTGGTGCTGTCACCATTGTCTACCCTATGGGACTGCCACCATACGATCCAATTCAAATGGAACTCAAGAATGAGGAAGACCTCTCGGGCACTCATGTGCGTTTGACCTGGCTCGCCCAATTTACTTTTTCTCGTTCTTGACGTAGTTTGCCTATTCTCCTCAAGCGTCTTGATTGTAGGTGGATTTTTGGTCCATATCACTATGTTCTAACCTTAATCTTCGCGGTTTCACTACTATAAATGGTCATCATCATGTTTACCTCGAGACCTCGGTACTATAGTGTCGAGAAGCTTATAACCTTCTCCGATTATCTCTGTTATCGGCATATACATTTTGCTTGCAAAAACAGTCTCAGGTTATAGCGCGTATACTTACTCTAGGGCCAAAGATGCAACCCAATTAATGCATTCCTCCGGGCTTCCTCTAAGACCGATGGGTAACTGTTAAGACACTAAGCAGTTAATCGGTGTAGTACGTTCATTATACAAGGAAACAGTCCCCTACTTTCTCGAGATTTGCGTGTAATTTTTAAAAGCTTCATCACTTTGTCACGTAAGTTACCTTTCTTCATCAGCTTCCTCTTAATTGTTTTTTCAAAAGGCTTCTCTTTTCACAAACATCATATCAGGCTCAGACCGAAGTGATACCTCCGGATGAAGCAACAATATGGTTTTCTGGGAAGGAGATGCTGCCCGGCAAACTGCTATCAGACTTCATAGGCAACAATGATAAGACGAAAATAATCGTGAAGATTGCGAAGCGAGGGAGCGGGGCGCCTGCACGTGAGGCTGTCATTTCCGAGGAAGACCAGAAGGCGATGATGAGCTATTATTATAAACGTCAGCAGGAGTTGAAACAATTGGAAGAAAATGATGACGACTCCTATTTAGACGCAAGTTGGGCCGAGCCCGGACAGTTAAAACGACAATTTCACGGTCTCGACAACATCAGACTGGGACCGAAATGAAAAACCGCACCATTAAAGACTAAACGCACGAATTTGTAGGCAACAGAATCTTTCTGCCCTGTTCACTGTGATTTTATTCATCCCTGATTTCCTGCTCCACTGCATTTACTAAGAATTTTCGCTGTTTGCCTTTCAGTTCCTTTCACATCCTACGTTAGCTGTGTCTTCCTCGATCGACGGCAATCCTGGGACGATTCATGTAGAGTTACGTCTAGCCCTTTAGACGACGTTGCATGGGCAGCATGTAAAGTCAGAATAACTGGTTAGCAGACGCTTAATTAGATGCGTCGATCAACCTTCTCCCGGAGGAACCAAACTACTTCGTATTCATTTTCCTTTCGACTAGCGCATCGTTAGGTTTCCTTGCCGCCCGACCAAAGATCATGGCGTTCTAATAAAAAAATCAGCTCCCAGTGCATCGGGCCGTCTAGATCGTGAGTAGTGTGCATTCATGAACCATGCGTCAATTATGTTGACGCCCTACGACTACAAGTCGGCCCGGTAATTTGGCCGCTCTAAGAAATTTGCAACATAAGTGTTATGACAAACTTCTTCAGACATTTGTGCAGACTCCTTACCTCACTTATACCTTGCCAGGTTTGAACAGGTCAAAGTACCAAAGAGCATATCCGACAGTAAGAACAAAGCAATTGAACAACATCTAAGGACCTGTCTATGTAATGTCTTATTATGTGCTCAGACGGTGGTATTGCTAACTAACGTAACGTGTGCCCTGAAGCTAACCAAGTAGTGTAAGCCATTGAAAACTGACAATCGACTCCCGCTTAGTCCTGCCGTGGCTTGCTTGGATTTACGGGTGCCCCTTATTACTTCCTCATATATCTGCCGGTGTGTAGTAATCTAGATGATGCGGGTTATCTGCCCTTTATCCGAGCATGCCATTCAGAACAGTTCTCGGGGAAGTCACGACATCTCGAGCTTATGTCCCACAATTCCTGGGGCAGGTGCGGTACGGTGGTCGCCATTTCACCCCTGATCTACAAATTATTGCATATTAAGTGTTACGGTGGTCAGCTTACTTGAGCGCCGTCGAACCTGCGCTCTTTCATTGCCCATTGTCATTTTGGCTCGCACCTGTCGTTTCCTGGTGCGAGGAAACCCCCCTCAACTCTCGGCCGCAGGAATAATTTGGAGAACTTCCTATTTACCACCGTCAGTAACTGCACACGAACCGCTCCTATATTGCACTCGGTCACTTTTATCTCCCATCTGTCTTTCCCTCCGACATTTGTTCGGATACAATCGCGATCCCTCGTAAGCCGGCAGGAGGGTTCTGCGATGCTTCACTGAGGACCGAACTATGAGTCTCCCTGACTTCCCTCCATAATTTGCGCGACGCTCCGAACTATCTCTGATGTCAGGTAATCGACAGCCTCCAAGATGTCGGGATAACGTGCTCTATACCGGCTTGCTCTATTCCGCTTTGACAGATCAGGACGATGTCCTTTCGCATGGATGATATTCGTTCGGCGTTCGCCGACCTTTGGGATTTCGCTATTAACGCCCACGACAACTTAGGCATTTATGGTTTATCATGCGCGCTTCATCCTTACAGGGGTCGTTCGCACTTCATATGAAAACAACTCAAACATCTGGCACCATCCGAAAAAGGCGGTCGAAGGTCCTGCGTCTTTTGAAACTGTCTTTCAGTATTTTAGTCTTCGCAATCGACAATTTTCACTGCTGTCCTACGAAGTGGGTTGGGCAGCCGGGACTTGCGCGTGACTTTATTTAGAGTGAAGTAGGCTTGCATCGTACCTATCTCGCTCATTTCAACACCCATCATGCTACGATACCAAGACGAGGTTTTGCCGGGTGCAGTCGCTGGGAAAGCTAGACATCCCGCCTACGCTTCCCTACGTGAGCCGGTTCCTAGCTCTACGAGTACTGGGCCTCACCAAATGATGTTCCGTATCTAGTTGGGGTGTTGTGTTCCGTCCGTTATACCGACGCTGGCGGACAGTTTTTCATGGGTGTTGCAGGAATGGCGTGTGATTTTGATAGTTGTCTGGTATGCGCGTATTATGGAGCACGTTAATGTGTGGCCTAGGGTCGTTTGTTGTATCGGTAGGGCGAGGTGTCGCAATAGGTTCTGAACTTTTCTGCTTTACCGAAGGTTTTTACGCATACGCCTGTTATCCACCTTCACGACGTGGCCAATCCAACTCACTTGCGTCTACCTCATCGTGACGCAGATACTGACGACGTCGGCCCTTCCCACGATCTCGACGAAAGGGGTCCTCTCCTCCCACTTTCTGCATTTTCTGAAGGCAGCTGAGGTGAAAATTGTCTACTTTGCCTGGTCTTCGTGAAACGTCTGCGTATCTGGTCCATATAAGAGAGCTGTCACGACAATAACCCAGCGCGTCCGCAGTTTCGTAATGGAGAATATTCCACGCAGGTGCCGATGACATTGAAGATAGCACTTCGACTATTTTCCCTCACACCTGTACCGTTTAAATGGAGTTTTCAGGGCTTCTGTCGTTTACTCTAAATATATTGACTGATACTGACTATGCACACACCATTCAGCGAAGCATTGGCAATAAGTCCTGGCTAAGACCGATCCGAACAGAGTCGTTAATGCGTCACCACATTCATCCATGCGAAAGGGTACAAGAAGAATTAGGTGGGCACAGACGTATATTAAGAACAGACGGAACCTGGGAATTTATAATAATGTTTACTTAAACAAATGACCTGTCCGGATGGAGTGGTGACACTGACATGCCTGATAAACAACTGGTAGGGAGCGCAGCGCTGTCGGTAACTGTGGAAGAGGACCGTGGGAGGTGCCGACGCATAAAGAGAGTTGCGGGAAGGAGGTCGACAGTAGGGGGGTAAGGGCATCGGCTATTTTCACCGATGCGCAGTTACACCATCTCCACCCCAAATCCGTGTGGAAAGTGTCTACTTCATTCAAACTACTTCACAGATCGTGGGCCGTCACAACGGAGCTTTGTCTGCCCAAAGGCTCACTCACTTTGGATATCCGACCTACAATTTCGACGTATATCTGAATGCTTTCTCAAATGATGCTTCCAAACCACACGAGTTTATCTACTGGTTTGAGGCGAGTTCTGTCAACACTCGCGTTGGGTTCGTTGTCATCATTAGTTAGGTGTCAGTTAATATGGCCAATGTCTTCTCCGTGCTAATTATCACCCCCAAAACTGGAGCAGCTGAGGACAGAGAGATCCAAACTCTGCCGTGTGTGCTCTTTCTTTGCGGCATTTGGTGCGCAGTCGTATGCGAAAAGGAGGTCGCGGACACTGACCCTGGAGTCTTTCATAAATGCCCTCATACACCGTCAACTGAGCAGTTGTCCATCAGCTCGATAGTCGATGTCGATTCCTCGCCGGTCCTCTCGGCAGACTCCTGCCAGCATAACTGAGACCATGAGACTGGGGAGGATTTGCACCTTTAGCCAGTCATTTCTTCTGCACATATTCCTTACTTGCACTCATTTACGACACCATCCAGCGTTCTGAATCAAGAAGTTGCCTCTTCCCAGCCACGTCTCCGGTACTCCTGACGATACGTTCGTTAATCCGTCTCCGTTCATGGAAATCACACGTTAGATCTTGGGAGTGGAACATGGAAAGAAATGTTAATTTCTCACAAGTGATATACTTATTGCGGGGTTCATGGGGATTTGGCTTAAGGTCATGAGGCTCCGTCTACTAGTCACATCAACAGTTACCAAGGGAAAGGTTTAAATAGTGTCCCGCTAGTTCCCACACAATGTCCAGTCTTTACGAGTTTTCACGCGGCAAGAATGAGGACGAGGGAAAGGTGAATAGGGTGACAATGAGGATCACCATGAGTAGTATTAGTCGGGCGGCAGTGGTGACACTCACTGACTCATTCTGACTACGTGACTTGTTAAAGGTGTATTTGTTTTGGTTACGTTAGCAGTCGTAGTTGTTGATAGAAACGAAGAGGCGAGTTCCAGGTGGCAGTTCAGAAGATGAAGATGCGATCACTGGAATAAGAAATTTATTTGCCTGACGTTTCGGATTCTCACTCGAATCCATCATCAGAGACATTCGCAGATAAAGGTGATGGTGGCACCAGGAGTGCAGTATTCATAGCACGTGGGACCGTATGCGCACTACAATTAACAGTTCTCGCAATCACCGCTGGGGTCGTAATTGATGCGGTGGTGGCTTGTCGATCCGAGTCCGAGTCGTTAAATGCCGCGATTTTGTCATCCGTGCTGGAAAATCGCAACACGGAATAGGGTACCGGGAGGTCATTGTGTTTGTTGATGGATTGCGGGCCTGAGAACCATGACTCGAGCAGCTCGCGGCTCACGCGGTTGTCACCCCTTGCGAGGGTTTCGGCCTCTTGAAATTTGAAAATATGGCCGGGTCCCGTCGAGTGTGCCGCCACCTGAGAGTTAGCGTCTTCCCGCCTCACTGCCGCTGCGTGCTCGGCAATTCGCGTACGGAGTAATCTCCCAGTTTCTCCGACATAATTGCTTTGTCCGCAACTACACCAGATCCGGTAAACGACTCCAGACGTTTCCTGCCGTGGCAGCGGGTCTTTTGGCCTCATGACTTGGCGCCTAATGGTTGCTTCCGGCCTGTGCGCGACCCCAACTCCAAGTGGAGTGAGTAGACGACTGACAGTTTCCGAGACGTTCTTCACGTACGGAAGAACCCGCCAAAATTTGGGGCTAGTTGGATTTGGTCTATGGTGTCCTTTTCGTATGCACTGGTTGACAAAATTGCGCGGGTAACCGTTGGCTCTCATTACCCGTCGAAGATATTGTAATTCAGCAACCTTGTCTTCCATTTCACTGCAGTACGTCTCAACGCGCCGGTATAGCGCCCTTATGCAACTGCGTTTGTAGCTGATCGGGTGGTTGCTATTGAAGTTCAGTATTTGCGTCCTATTCGTCGCTTTTCTGAACAATTTGCGGCAGACGAGGACATCCAGGAAGGCCAGCTGATGATTTTCCTCCTCCTCTATCGTAAATTGAATGTTCGGGAAGACGACGTTGAGTTGTTCTTTGAATGTCAGCACCTGATCCCGTTCGACGACGACGAAGGTGTCATCCACATACCGAGCCCAAAATTTCGGTCTGTGATGTCGGAAAATCAGCGACTCCAGCCGTTGTAGGACCGCCTCGGCTATGAGTCCCGAAATCGGCGAACCCATTGGCGTTCACTTCACCTGCTCATAGATTGTTCTGTCGAACGTAAAGTACGTCTTGAGACAGAACTTCAGGAGCTGGGTGATTTGGGCGTGTCCAAGGCGATTCTCCGTTTCGTCGTATTTCTCTCGTAGGAGTAGTTCGATGGTCTCGACTGACAGGTCCTGCGGGATAGAAGTAAAAAGGAACGTGATATCAAAGGAAACCATGATATCGCTTGGCAGGAGACTTACTCCCTTAAGTTTCTCCAAGAATTGCGTTGACGAGCTGACTGTGGTGTTTGAATCGGAGGTCAGAAACTTGGGATGTTGGAACGGCCACTTTACCCGTCGGTAGGCTGGAGTCGTATTTGTGATTGATATGGCTGTTGTAAAGTTACAATAAGTAGACATTCACTGTGAACTTAATTGTAGGGCAAAAAGTGGGCCGAGCGTCAAAACGGTCTCACCTGATCGCTGATTAGGTAGATAACAAATGCTCTCCTGATGAATTAAATCCCCGGGGTTCGGTTCCAACGTGCGGCTGCATGCTTCGCAAAACCATCGTCCAGAATGGGATCTGCGTTGAGGGGCGCGAAGCGTCTGCGACCACAAATCAACAAACAGCCACTGTTGAAACTGTACCCGTGGTTGCTCTTGCTTTCGCTGTCCACACCACGGAAGCTTCATCGGCGACATTCAACACGCTCCGCTTGCATCCTCCACTCGACAGTCTCAACCCTAGCAGGCACCCGCCGTCTCGGTGATTAGTGCATCGGCACCGTTTACAGATACCTCGATGATCAGCCTTTTACTTTTCATGACTTTTGGTCACCGGTGCTGAATTTACTGATGCACTGTAATTTTGCATCGTTATTGCAGCTGAGCAGGTTGTTCCTTGCCCACTTAATGCCTACTTCTCTTTTTCAATGCTCAAAGTGGCCTCTGTGTGCATTCGCCCGACTCTGATTTGAATTTCACTGTATACCCATGAGCCATCTCCAGACATCTTGACTTTGTCCTGCCATCGAATGGTAATAGGTGTGAGCGTAAAGTGTGAGACCGATGTGGCGTAAGTCACTGCTGTACTCTTTGGCGACGACATCCATGTTGTCTACGTTGAACAACCCACCACCCAGCAGATCTATGATCATGTACGATTTATGAGACGACAACTTTTAAACTTCTTAGGCAGTCAAGTAAAAATTTGTGAGGTATGGGGAACTGCGGCCATGAAAACTATAATTAAATACCTATAAGCGTCTCATTTAAGCAAGAGAGGCTGACTATACTAAAATCTTCTGGTGGGACTCAGTACAAACCAATATAGGCAGAATGGTACTACCGACAAAGACAAGGGAGACTGGAATAGCTATTTCTGGCTCATTAGGCTTCGTCAGCCAGTCATACCCAACCCCGAGGTGTGGTACACCTGGGGCTCGATCGCACGACCTGCTAGTTAGAAGCCCAACGCCTCTAACCGCTGAGCCACGGGGTCGCTGTCCTGTCGGTTGCGATCGGGAATTCAAAATGGTAGGGGGGCGCTCATTGACGAGTGAGTTCCGTAAAAAGAAGGTCGGTGAGTGTCCCTCGACAACAAACCCATATGTTCAGCTGATTAGATTAATGCACTCGTTGTGCACAATTATGCTAAATTTGGGGAAACGACCGTTTCATTGCACTTCCTCCCATCGTTCCTATCTGGAGCCCAGTGCATTCTGCTCAGAACTGAGGTAGTGATCACGTCCTAAGACGAGAGACTATCGCAAACCCCAAATGAATTGCTGATTGCGACAAGTGACGTATGACTGTCTTTCAGCGCCAAATATCTGTGCCGCCGGCGTTAGAACGTGAGAGATCCCTTTGGGTTATGTCAAAGATGAGATTATAATCGCCTTCAGTGGCAGCTACGGTCGAACTCCCTGATCCTGATTATATTTAAAGTCTCCGCAGCAGTCACTCTCTGAAGGCTAAGTAGGCTAATAAGGTAAGATGTACATATAATTAAGACGCTTTTGTTTTGTTCTTTAGGAGGCAGGTTCGATCTTCCCGCAGATACTTGTGCCTCAATTCTTACATAATACTCCAAACTGCATCAGGAATTGGTGAAGTCTGTAATTTGTCTATCAACTGGCAAATATATTTGTAAGAGATTAACAATTGGAGGCCCAAACTGAAAACTTAAAAACTGGAATGGCCAGTCGGATTTGAACTGTCCACTGTTAGATTTCGAACAGAGTACTCACAATCCGAGCCATTTTAGTGGTCGTCTATATGATGAAAATCCTTCTTTAGATATATGAGTTTCCGGTGGCGAAAAGTCGCTTCCAATAAAGAACGACTTTAAGTAATATATTCTGTTTAGTTTTATTTTCATTTCACCAAATTTTGTATATAAATATTATAGCAATATGAATTCTTATAATTTGGTACCAGATATGTATCTAGGAAAGCATTTTAAAACAATGACCGCATTCTTCAAATAGCCTATGAATATCGGTGACAGTAACGCGCGATTGCGAAATCATATGCGGTGGCCGTCAGTTTGTGAACAGTGGTGCAGGGGTGTCCAGTTGTGGGTTCACGTGACGGTCGTAGTAGGTCGCTCACTTGCTCGTAGGTGTTGACTACGCCTTGCGTCAATTTACTAGCACCCAACTCTTACATGTGGCTCCCCAAAGGTAGGCCCTGCCAAGCGGCCACACCCCCGTAATCGCCTCAACCGACGGGCAAAACCAGGTGAGGGTATCTGTGTCCATCTGCGCACAAGGTAACTCGGCTCCGGTGGCCGCCTCAGCATCTCCGGGATGAGGCGCCGTCTGTAACACCGCAGAAGGCCACAATGTAAGTGAGCCACCAGGTAAGCGAACATTGCACTGTTAGATTGCTATTTGCCTGCTTGTTTGTGTTTGTCATAGTTAAAAACTTAACGCCGTCCGTTGAACTTCCGCTGTTGCCTTTGCTTTTTGCTGTTCTTGACTGCCTGCATTTTGTCTGTTTGCTCGTATCCGTCCTTATTGTAACGTAAATGCCGTTCTGTTGAATTTGTCTATTCACCACTTATATTTCAGCAACCAATTAGCTTAGAGGGGACGGGAAAGATCTGCTTCCCATCGCTCTAACCTTTCCTCATCCCCCCTCCCCCCCCCCCTTCCAAGCCGTACAGCGATGTCGTAGGCAGGCCCAGGCTAACTCGGGCCGTTCTCCCGCTAAACAAAATTCTTGGCTCATAGTGGAGTTCGGCAGCCGTCTATGAAAAACTCAGCAGGCCTATTTAGGGAGCACTCCTCACTCCCGCGAGGGGGAAGGGGCTAGAAAATGTGCCCTAAACAAATGCAGGATCCATGCCGTCTGCAGGCTGACCGTGGCCGCAAACGCAAAACAAATGGTCGAAACAACTAAATCAGAAAAAACACTATTTCTTCCCCCTCCCCACCGTCCCACCCCAACCTCCCAGTTGTTGCTGCTGCTGCCGCCGCCGCCGCCACCGCTGACGAGAACGCCTCCGGGGAGAACCGATGGTGTAAACTGCGTGACACAGTCCAGTCGACGGCGCTGGCCGTCCTCGTTCGGGCACGCCGCCAACATCGGGACTGACTCGATAACAACGACGCCGCCATCAGCAACCTGATTGGCGAAAACAACCGCCTGCACAAAGCCTACGTCAACCGCCCCACCAACGTCTTCACCGACATTGAAACTGTCTACCGTCCCACAGCCAAAGGAACCGCTCTTCTTCTCAGCGCCGACGGAAGTACCCTATTTACTGAGAAGACACTAATTCTACAGAGATGGGCCGAGCACTTCAGAGACGTCCTCAACCGTCCCTCCACCATCTCCGACGCCGCTGGCGCCCGTCTGCCTCAAGTGGAGACCAAAGCCGACCTCGACCTCGCGTCCCTCTCCACGAAACCATCAGGGCCGTGCAGCGGCTCTCCAGCGGAAAAGTGCCCAAATCGAACGTGATCCCTGCTGAAATCTACAAGCACGGTGGCCCCCAACTCATGGACCACCTGACGGCGCTCTTCCAGGAGATCTGGAGTCGAGGAGAAGTACCGCGGGATCTCAAGGACGCCACAATCGTCCATTTTTATAAGCTGAAAGGCAACCGCCAGCTCTGCGATAACCATCGAGGCATCTCCTTGCTGAGCATCACTGGAAGGATCTTTGCTCGAATCCTTCTCAACCGCCTGAACAACCATCTGGAACAGGGTCCACTGCGGGAAAGTCAGAGCGGCTTCGTCGTCATCTTGGGACCACAGACGATCTTCGCCGCCCACCAACTGCAGGAGAAGTGTCAAGAGGTGAGGATCCACCTCTACCCTCTTCAGTCTTATGTTCTCTGTCATGCTGTTAGACGCCTACGGTGACGAACGCCCCGGGATCCGCGTCGCCTACAGGACGGACGGCCACCTCCTCAATCAGCGGCAGATGCACTTCCAATCCGCGTGCATCCACAACCATCGTCCACGAACTTCCGTTCGCCGATGACTGCGCTATCAACGCCACCTCAGAAGGAGACATGCAAAGGAGGATGGATCTCCTCTCCACCGCCTGAGAAAACTTCGGCCTGATCATTAACACGGAGAAGACGGTGGTCACGCACCAACCGCCACCCGGCGCTGCTTACGTCGCATACGTCGCCCAACTGCAAATGGTGGACAACTTCACGCATCTGGGCAGCATACTCTCCCGCACCACCAAGATCGACGATGAAGTGGCCCGCAGGATTTCCAAAGCCAGCCAAGTCTTCGGCCGTCTGCAGTACACAATCTGGCATTGTTACGGTCTCCAGCTCAACACCAAATTCAAGATGTGTAAGGCAGTCATTCTGCCGACGCTGCTGTATGGAGTAGAGACCTGGATGGTGTACATGAAGCAAGCACGTAGACTCAACCACTTCCACCTCAGTTGTCTTCGACGGATACTGAAGCTTAGGTGGTAGGACCGGATCCCAGACAGAGACGTACTGGAGCGGGCGGGAATCCTCAGCATCCTACAACTACAACTGCGCTGGAGCGGCCGCGTCGTGCGGATGGACGACAAGAGGATACCCAAAGAAATCTTCTTTGGCGATGTTGGGACGGGTTCACGCCGACATGGAGGTCAAGGCCGGCGCTACAAGCATACCCTGAAAACTTCCCTGAAGCGCATGCAGATCAACCCAGCCAAATGGGAAGACCTCGCCCGAGACCGACCGACCTGGGGGAAGGCATTGATAATAGGCGCAGCGATCTACGAAGCCGACCGCATCACGGCAGCCAAAGCCAAACGTGAGGCTTTCAAATCTCAGCTGCCGCTGCTGCTGCCGCCGCCGCCGCCGCCTCACAACGCCAGCTCCCAACCGCCTCGAATGTGTCCATGGTGTCAATGGACGTTCCGGGCGCCAACTGGATTTTTTGGACACCTCTGGACCAACTGCAGTACCCGGACTGCACCAACCGTCGTCTCTCCGTCCACCTCTCCTCGCCTTCCACACCAGCAAAAATCAACTCCCCTGGCGGAGGGGCGCTCACCGATCGATCTTACAGAACTTGTCCGTTTCGCTCTGCCTTACGGACTGGTGGGCTGGGGGCCAGGCTAAAACGACCCCTTCTTAACGTGACCTACGACACTCACGCATTTGAGGTGTACGCCACTCAGTCCCGTTGTGTGAAATCCTGGCGTTTGTGTTTGGGGGGCCAGGTCGTGCACGTGGCGCACGTACACAAGATCACTAGACATGGCAGTTACCGCGCCCATTCCCCGCACCTGTCAACTGACAGGCTCAGACAGTGACTGGTGACTGGGAATGGGAAGGGAGAGTGCGGTCGCCGGCCCAGCGCATTTTCCTCACTATAAACAATCTGACGCTCTTAAAGATATCACGGTGCGCTAAAAGCCTTGGCTTGGAATGTTGCCAACTAATGGGGTAACTTGGGTCTCGCAGTCGACCCAGTGTTGTGTGCTTGTGTGGAGTGGCCGGCTGGTGGCCTAAGAGTCGGGTTGCAATGGCTCCTACCTAATGTGGCACTATGGCAATTCCTCTCCGTGGGATCCGAGCCAGGTGTGACGGCACGCTTAAGTGCGGCTTCGGCTAGTCACCCTTTTGTTGTTGGTAAAAAGCCTGGTCGTTTTGTGTGTGGACCGGAGGGTGTGGAGTGGAGCGTCAAGGTGCGGGCTCGATCGCGCCATCCACATGCGCCCCCACCCGCCTCCGCCTTCTTGACTATGTCTTGACACCTGGTTCAGGTGGGGGAGGAAGAGAGAGTGCGGTAGGTGCTGCACAAGTCTGTTCTCACCATAAACTAGATCACGCGCAAGTCACCGTGCCTGCTGCATTTTGTTGTGGAGCACACGGTGGACGTCGTCAGCAACGACGATCGAACTGTCACCTTGTTAACAATCGCATATTTGCACAGTGCCTTCTAGGGAATGTGGTCATGCGTCTGGAACAGTTATCTGTCAAAAATGAAAAAAATGCTTCAACATGCACAATGACGGGTCGTTGATATTTTACACAGAATGAAGTTCTGAAATTCAGTTTGGAGTTCAAGCTATTTCCAAATCTCGATGAATTCCACAACTCCTTGATACTTTGGCTTCCGAATGGTCATGGTGATTTGGTCAATATGACTGCTGTTAATGAAAATTGTTTTGGGAGGTGATGGCAGCTTTACCACGAGTTGGTTTGTGCAAAGAATACCTTACGCAACATTTAACTTGGTGACATTCATCATGATTCATTTGCACGATAAGATAAAAATTATTGGAGCTCAGCCTATGAGCGGTGACTTGAACCGACGACTGTCCATGCCACAGAAGTACACACGCTGACACGAAATAAACAATGTTAAGAGAAGTTTTCTCTCTTATTAAGGAGAATTGAGCCATTGACGTTGAAGATGTGTTTATTGCGTCGAAGTCACAATTATTTGCACGTCAGGATCCTTTAAATATATCTACGAATTGGTGCAGCGTGAAAACTAAATGCTGGATCCGCGATAGATAAACCCTGTCCTTCCCCTCAGGCACCGCGTACCAGCAGTACGGAAATTGTGAGACACATTACAACCCCTGACGTGGCACGTAGACTCCTTGCAAGTCTACTACATGTCTATTTGTCTCTATGTACACCAGCCTAACTCCAGGAAAGGGCTAAATTACCTCCCGTGTCATGATTTTAAGGAGTCATTATGGTCCAGAAGCGTGGGAGACTTATCAGAGTGCAAACATTGAGCGCTGGGTTATTTTGGAAAAGTTTGCTCTATTTTTGACTCCAATATTTTTGTTTTCTTACGTCAGATACCAGAAAACCAGCTAGGGATAATGAAATATTGCGGATTGCCTGATTTGGCTTGGTACCTAATCTACGGCACGCTGTATATTTACCTGATTGTACATCTAGGCTTAACGTAAACATGCAACCCCTTTCCGGGAGCCGCAGTACGGATATATGGAAAAATGTGTTACCTGTAGGTCTAAAGCGTCTTTTTAAGACTCATATTTGTTTCAAAAGGTTTTGACTTCATGTTGGATCAGGGGCAGGGGACTTGCATTTTTATATTAGGGCCGCTGTGGTACGCATGCCTACCGAGTTTAAAAGCCCTGCTTTTAACTGTCGCACTTAGATTTTAAAATGCCTATTTTTCTAGAAAGGTGCGCATTTCATATCATTGTAAGCTGCGTAATCATTGACGTGCGCTGACCTTCAGCATATCAACAAACTCTCAATAGTCTTGAAGAGAATACACTAGGCACGAATTCGCTACTTGAGCTGAGGGAAATTACTGAAGTCGGAAATTCACAAACGCGATCAGAATAGGGTGGCTTACTTCAACTACACACATGTTTGCTAATTAATTCGCCTAATATCTGAGCCTGAGAGTATAGGAACTCGGCAGGTTTGTGGAACATTGTCAAAGGATTTTATTTTTAAGATCAAACGAAGTCCCTGTTAGTATATTAGCTACGAGCAAAACAATTAAAATGGCGTTAAATGGAAAAAATGGTGAGTTTAGGGAGCGCTGGATGTCTAACATGTTGACATCTGACCAGAATTTGCAGTCATATTTTGTTTTTTCAACACAGGAAGACTGCCTGAATTCACAGCCATTTCAATTCGAGCAACGACTGCCAATGGTGCATGTTTTGCCAGGTGATGGCACGAGTTTTCCTGACCTTTTGTCATGTCCGCGGAAAAACAAATCATTCCGAATTACAAAGGCGGTTGACGCAATAAGGCTAGTTAATGTTGTAATTTTAGAAAATATTACAACGTCTCCAACTGTTATGCTGTATATTTTGGTCACCTTTTGATATTGTTTACGGTCCGGTTTGTTTTGATGGTTCATTGTTCCAGGCTGATTCGTTGTCCGTATTCATCCCAAAACTGCCCATAATCTATAAATGAGCTTAGCTTTCCTCACCAACATCAAAGCAGCAAATTCTCCTATCAAAAGGTACACCATAAAATCGCACAAGAGGAAGATAGGTCAATAATTATTGCATTTGTTAAAGTATAACGGTTTGTAAACAATGTTAGGGGGCGCCTACCGATCGTTCATATGGAACTCACTCGTTCCGTTGTGCCTTACGGGCTCTCGCTCGAGCCCAACCAGCAGCCGCACAGCAACGCATAATATAGGCAGCATGTTATTACATCAGAAAGCGCTCTTACTTAGTAACACTTTAGCCGCTTTATATGAAAAAAATATTAATTCATTGATTATAAACTACATCGATCATTTCCGACCTGCAGATAGTGCAGTCGTGACTTACACGTCGATTTGTTTATAGTGAATCGAAGCTAAGCTGCACTTACTTTACTTTCCGCATAATTAGCCTATCCCAAGAAAAGGGCAGAATCATAATAACTGGATGCGGACGCGTGCCCAATACCAGACCAGCGTAATACATATGGTCTAGTCCTAGCTCTATAAGCTCCAGCGTGCAGAAAGCGACCTTGGATTCGACATAAGTAAAAGTGCTAAAAGTATCATATTTTAATGGCTTTACTCATCGCAACCTTAAGTGAAAAACAGCCTATCCGCTCGATTAATAGACCTAAACATCTTGAATTTCGGCTCTCCGTGAGAGTTAGATGCTATTTTGCCTGTTCTTAATAAGGAAACTGGACGCTGAATTCGAGCGTTATCAATGCCACTAAAACTTACTCTTACATTCTAGCGAAGTTTCTAACCTTGTCGATTGCGTACAGAATTTAGTGGGTGCACACACAAATGGGACCAACAACGTCGAGCAATCGAAGTGGTGCGCATGCTTGCTCCTTAATAAATTAAGCCTTTTAAAGGCTGTTGACTAGTAAACGAACTTACTGTGTATACCATGCCCATGATCAAATAATTTTTCATTAAAAACAGTAAGGTATAAGTGGATGTATTTAGCTATTTTGCTTCAAACTACACTTGAAACATTGAAAAGGAATTTAGACAAAACCAAATGAGAAATGTGACATTTTTGATAAAAAATACAGAGGGCCCAACCTTCCACTTGATCCACACCAGTAGCCTAATGGAAAGCATGGGAATCTCCACGCCTGTTATGAGAACAATTACCCGTGCCACATTTAAGATCTGCAGGGTTCTGTTTCCATTCACTGTGATGAAAAGTAAGCCAACGATGAGCAAAGCCAAAGATGCGATTATTGTGACGAAAACGTGCAAAATAAAATCACTGGACGTAGGTTGCTTTGATGGGCTCACAAAACTGACAAGATCAACTGCATCGAGAATATCGAAAAAACCGATAAACGGAAAATACATAGGAAATGTTAGGCATTTATATAATTGCATAAGTTTACGGCACTGAAACTGAACGAAAAGAAAGTAAGAAGATGAAAGAGCAAGCAGCAGCGAAAAATTATTAGCGCTCCATAGGTGTTCTGGGACAGCGTCCTTTGAATTATAGAGTTGCAGCATAATAAAACGTGGAAGTAATCCGACACAATAAAACAACCAGCCGAAAGAAAAATAGCAATTTGTAGTTGCACGGTTCGGATAGATTAGCGGCTCAAGTAGATAAAGATATGTAGTCACCACTAAAAAGCTACAATCGGCGATTGCCCAGTAATACCAGTTTGTATTGTGACTCAGTGTTCCCAAGAAAAACGTGAGAAAAGCAACTTGAATCGCGTAAGAAGTGTTTGCTAGAAACAGGCAAGCTGCGTCAAGACACAATTCACGTAGTTGCATTGTCAGTCTGAAAAAGATAATCTCGGTTAAATGAATCAAATTTTTAATGACGCCATTAGCCGTTAATTTGGAATAAAACGCGCAAAATATGACAAAGTTCGAATGTATGTTGTTGACATCAGTAATCAAATACATATGAAATATTCCCGGATACATAAATTCGAGACTTTACATAGAGTTACTGTAAATATACGGAAGGAAATCAATCCGTGTAGTTAGTGTATGAGCATTAATTAAATACTACTCTCTGTTGAATACAATCCGTTCCGCCAATGCCATTAAATTTAACTCTTAAGAGTTAATAAATGGTTAATTACCCATAAAAATCAGCTCAATAGCAATGTCATTATAATTATAATTTAAAGCCTCCTAGAAAAGGCCAAGTTGAGTTTAAAAATTTTGAAATCTAACGTTGCCTTTTCTAAGAGGTTTTAAATGTTTCTACCACTACAGTGAGTAATGTAATAACTGTAGAAGAGTCAGCATTCGCATATCTCAAACATTTAACATCGCACCTTTCAAATCATTTTTACAAATTCTGTTAGAACCACAGGTGCAATTAAATGAAAGATATATATCAGAGCTTATAGGTGATTTAATCAAAGTACTTTGAATAAATCGCCAAGGATTTATTTTTACCCCAAAATATTTTTTATGAATACTAGTCAACATGTCCACAAATCAACAAGAGTAAAAGATAGTTTTTAAGAGCGTCAAAAGAAACTTGGATGTGATAGCCTGAAACAAAATCTTTGCATTCATCACATGTTACAGCGTATTTTAAAAGCAGAAGTGCTTGTAAACAAAAATACAAATTTTGTCGATTAAATAAAACAAAGTCGATGAAAATGTTTTCGGTTAGAATACGGAATTAATTGTTGCTTTCCTACTGAAAATTGCTAAAGTTCGATGATAAAGAGCTGCTGGGTATATTGGTATCGCTGCCACGTTTCCTGCGAAAGTGGCATTATTCAAACATTTGCAAACTGGCAACGCCATAATTAGCTGTGGTATATGTAAAGCATAGGCCTAGTTGTCGTTAGGTAAAAGGCATAAATAAGGAGGAATACGAGCCTTTATACACGGGCAAAAACGTAATGCAAGAGATCAATCGGTCTGAGTCACTAACTAAATCTTGGTTTCTTCTACCAAGCGCAGATATACCCGAAATTCTGAATCCAAAAACAAACCTACTTCAGCCCAGTTCAGTATATTTAGCGAAATAGGCGTGATCCGCTGAGTATTTAACTTGCGGAGCAAAAATGTGTGCAGATCGCGAAGAATCCATTTGTTTGGAATAGCTCAAATGGACCACTATTATTTGAAATATCTGAACCAGAATCGCACGTTTCGAGATCTACCGCTCACAGTTGCGGCTCAAGTTGGGGCATACATTTCTGAGGTTCTTTTCACAAATTTCCATCAATGTGAGCAGCAAAAAATGTGCCGGTAGCATATTACATGGTACAGTCTTCCTGGCAGATAAGGAGTACTCCCGCACATCCAGCCTCGCCTGCCTTACGTGTAGATGTATTAAGTGACCTCGAGGGTGGCTCGAAGTAGCAAATCGAAAAAGTCGTCAAAGGACAGGATGCAAACCGGTTTTTTCACAATGTGGAATGCTCGTCAGATATGTCCGCGTATTTGCCTTGTCCATGTTGGTGGCCCTCTTTGAACTCCTGGTTGCTTATCCAGAAAGATATAAGGAGAGTATACAAAGTATGACACGGGAAACCACCAAAGTCTCACATAATCCCAACTAAAGTCTGCAGGTTTTGTGACCCCTGATGATGAGCAAAAAGATGTGGTGCCAGGAACGTATCCCCAGCATTCCAAAGAATCAACAATTTTACACAAAAAGCGGAAAGGGAATCGACAAATCGACGATAATCACGGAGGAACAACCACACCTAATAATCTCAGAGAATCTCCGTTCGCATCCATCTCACTCGCCTCAATGACCATTTTGAACAAGAACTTTCCTCGGAAACCTAATGTGGCATTTGACTACCCCATGAAACCAGCGACTTGTTCTTCGCCACCTGCCAGCTACAAGTGTAATGCCGCGGAGTGCGGACCCGTCTCTACACTATCAACGTGGACTTGACTAAAGTCTCCGACACAACGATGGCGAAGAACCCTGGAAAATAATTCCCAAATTTGGCTGATTTGAGCGATTCACGCTCATGGGGCGTCAGCCCCACAAAGTCATCATGGCGCGCGCCACATACACTAGGACGGTTTTAAATGGAGTGAAGTGAGCCAAGGCAATATTTCCTCCCACTTCAGCCTCATGTTATTTGACATGTTGATGGATACCTAACGTCATGAGGGCCCCGGGATCAACATCGTACATAGGACCGACGTCCATCTTCGCAATAGACGACGTGTGCAGGCGGTTGACGTAGGCTTTGTGCAGGCGGTTGTTTTCGGCAACCAGGTTGCTGATGGCGGCGTCGTTGTTATCGAATCAGCCCCGATGTTGGCGGCGTGCCCGAACGAGGATGGCCAGCGCCGTCAAATGGACTGTGTCGCGCAGTTTACACCATCGGTTCTCCCCGGAGGCGTTCTCGTCAGCGGTGGCGGCGGCGGCGGCGACGGGGGCAGCAGCAGCGACTGGGAGGTTGGCTAGCCGTTCAGCTAGCTTATTACTGAAATGGAGATGGTAAGCAGGCAAAGGAAGGAAAGCTATATTAAACTTACCTGGGGGTCGCTTACCTTGACGTCTTCTGCGAGGCTTTAGGCGTATACGCAGCTTCGAGATGACGAGGCGATTTTCAGTCCATCCGTCAGTACCCGCGATCGCCTTTGTCAATAGCACGTCCTGCTGGTCTCGCCTCCGGACGAGAACATAGTTTAGTAGGTGCCATTGTCGCGACCGAGGGTGCATCCAGGTCGCGTTCTCTCGCATCGCGTGACGAAAGTAAGTGTCGGTGAGAATGAGCCGGTATTCGGCGCAGGTTAGCAGGAGGAGCAGATCATTGTCGTCGGGGCCATTGAGGCCATGGGGATCGAGCACTCCTCTCCAGAGAGCATGGTCTGTGTCGACGCGGACGTTGCAGTCACCCAACTTATCTGCCTTCGGCACAGTCGCCAAGAGGGCGCGCAGATCCTCGTGGAATCTATTTCTTGCCGCGTCAGGGCTGGACATCGGGGGAAGCGTAGGCGCTGACGATGGTGGCGAATTTGTCCCCACCCCGGAGATGCAGATGGAGGCTCATCATGCGATCGTTGATGCCCTGCGGCAAACAGGGTAGTCGTCCCACGATGTCGTTCCGGATGGCGAAGGCGACTCCCGCGTCTCGTCGCTCTGCCTTGGGTCGACCACTCCAGAAGAAGACGTAGACGTCACCAATCTCCTCCAGTTGGCCTTGTTCGGAGAATCGAGTCTCGCTGAGTGCAACTATGTCCACCTTATAGCGCGCCAGTTCCCGATCCACTAAATCCGTTCTCCTTTCCGGTCGGTTGCTCATCGGATTGTCTAAAAGGGAACCGACATTCCAGGCTGCCAGAGCGAGCAGACTCACCCTGCCAGTCAGGCGTCTGTGGCGGCGAATAGTAGGAGTAGGAGAAGAAGAAGAAGAAGAATAGGCTGGAAGAGGAAGAGAGTAATTGCTGTTGTTGTTGTTGTTGTTTCGGTTTTGGCTGTTTTGACCGTGTGTTTTTTTTTCTGCGGCCACGGCTAGCCTACAGACAGCGTGATTCCCAGGGATCTTTAGGGCACCTTTTCTAGCCCCCTCCCCCTCGCGAGGGCAAGCAACGCATCCCTGAACAGGGCTGCCCGGTTATCCCAGACGGCTGCCGGACTCCACTGTGGGCCACGACATTTTGTTAGTGAGAGAACGACCCGAATTAGCCCGGGACCTTGGTGGTGATGGTGATGTGATTGAATGAAGTAGGAGAGAGCATACACACAACCTAACGCTATGGGACTTACAGCTAGGTAGAGTGGGCAAACAGACACAGTCATCAGTCAGACACAGAAGTGAGAGGGCACCATTCAAGTGTCAAGCACCGCAACGCCTAGCTATTAGCAGAGAGAGAGAGAGAGAGAGAGAGAGAGAGAGAGAGAGAGAGGCGTAGGTTGACAGACAGACAGTCGCAGCAGGCAGCGAGTGTTTCGTTTAGCTATTAACAGACAGGCTATCATATAGAGGGCAGGCAGCAAGAGCAGCATGCGGCACGGAAATTCAACAGACAAAGGAAGAAACAAGGAAAATTCACTTACCTGAAGAAGAACTTACCTGGTAGCCTCCTGCAATGGTCCAGGCAGAGCCTCGTCTCGACGATGTCGACGCGAAGATCCATCCGGCCAGCGCAGACCGCATTACCGCGAGTGCAGGTGCCCGCACGGATACCCTCACCTGGTTTAGCCCGCCGGTCGAGGCGGTTGCCCGGGGTGTGGCCGCTGAGCAGAGCCCAGCTACGTGGAGCCACAGGTGAGAGTAAGGTGCCAGCAAATGGACGCTAGGCGAAGTCTCACGTGCAAGCAAGTGAGCGACCACTATGACCATCACGTGAACCCACCGCTGACACCCCTACACCCCACACACACGCGCACACGCACACGCACACACACACCCGTTCTCATAGCCCCAACCGCTCGCACCGCCCTCGTGGGTTCAATTATAACATGTGCCCACATACTTATCTGTGGTAAGCCATAGCATGACAAATTTCATAACCAAACAGCCCTCACTGCTATGTGCACCGCACACGAACGCGTTCCAGGGTGCAAACCGCAGGCATGGAACAAGCACCCCCACACACCGTGTACTTTAACATATATGCGACCCCGGAAGTCCATCCCCATCCTGTGAAATCCTGGTATCGTGAGAAGGCATATCGCGGGTGCGGTACGCGCAGTCGGGCTGCCTAGTTTTATCAGATATAGCGCCCGATCCCGCACTAGTTGACGGACCGGCTCAGATAGTGGACTGGATCCTGGGAGAGGGAAGAGAGAGAGTGAAATCAACTGCCTCAGCACATATCTCTTATTACAAACAACCTGAAGGACTTAAGTTTAACATTGAGCGCCAAAAGCCGTGATTTGGAAGGCTGCCAACCGGCGGCATAATTCGATTTTCCTCTCAGGACAGAGAGCCGGGCTGCAATAACTCGTTCTTAATGTGGCGTCTATGACACACCTATTACGTATGGACTCTGGACACTCCCACTTCTTGTTATGTGAAACCCTGTTCTTTCGCGCGTAGACCAGGGGGGTCTGGGTCACTCCGGGCCGGCCGCCTATGCCCGAAATCACTGTTTGTCATAATGGAAGAACGAGCGCGAAATTGTTAGTTCAATAGTTCCTGTAAAACATTTCGTCGACAAAGTGAGAATGAGGTTGTAGCAGCCGCTCCAGTTCCCCTTTCCTCCGGCTCCGTTTTGTCGAACAATGGCCGCGACAGCTGTTGATACACGGCCACCCCCGCTGGCTAGAACTGGGACAGCTCCGGTCCAACTACAAACTTTCATCACCTCACGCGCGTCTAACGCTCTGGCCTGATACCCGTGAGGCCTTGTGAGCATGCGCTCCTATTCCTCCCCTAATTTGTCCAATCACACGACCAACACTCAGCTAATCACTCCCCCCTGCTGACACAGATACTCACTTCAGCGTAAACAACACACCGCGACTGACGCACTCCGTGAACGGATGCTTAGCTCTGTTGCGAGCAAACAGCCAACTTACGGCAATCTGCCCTGTGTACAGAATAAACTATTCCTCACAGCTCCCTGACTGCTGATATTAAACGAAACGAACTTATTGTGCGTGGTTTAAGTTGATCTCACATCCCTGATCGCCACACGGTCAAACAACGTGCAAAAGAACCACACATGCCTAAACCTCCAAGCCCCCTCGCAGCTTATTAGAATGGCCGTTCCCACTGCCAGTGTGAAATGTCCCTTTGCCTTTAAACGATCCGGTGGGCGATCAACCTAAAAAGGAAGACACCTCCGGACGCTCTTTAACTGGACATCGGCCTCTGGCATCTCTTCCCTAGGGTCTTTGTTGTTACTGACATTCTCCGTGCCATTCTCGGCATAGAATATCTCGCCGCTTTCTATCTTATGGTCGATTTCTGTCAGTCCCGTCCAAAGGACCAAACTACCAAGCTCAGTACCCGGGGTAAACTTTCGTCTGAAGTGTCCCGTCAATTAGCTGTCCTGGGCACTGACCCACATTGTCCATTTCAGCAACTCCCCGCCAAATACCCCGAGTTAACTCATTCCCAATTCAACGCGCGGCTCCACCACACACCTTTCCTCATATCCATACCACTGGCCCTCGCGTGTTTTCTCGGTCCCGTCGTCTCTCACTTGCACAACCGTCTGCCGTCAAGACCGAGTTCGAACATATGCTTGAAGGGGCATCATCCCTGAATTTGAAAGCCATTGCGCCTCCCCCTCCCCTGGTTCCAAAGGCTGCCACTGGTGACTGCCGCTCCTGCTGTGATAACAGAACCCTGTAAAAGGTCTGCCGTTGTGGACCGTTGCCCTGTCCCGCATCTTTAGGATTTTGTAGGTGACCTATTAGGCAAATCTGAGTTTTCGAAGATCGACCTGGTCCGGGCCTGCCATCGGATTCCATTGATTGGAAGGACGTTTCAAAGGCGGCAGTTATTACTCCTTTTGGCCTCTTTCAGCCCCTGCATATGCTGTTTGGACTTCGCAACGATTCCCAGGTCTTCAGAGGTTCGTAGACAAAGTGCTTGGTAGCCTACTTTTTGCCTACCTCCGTAATGACGGACGCAGGGTGGCCAACTCCTCCACCAAGAAAACACAGGAAACACCTCGCAGTGGTGTTTAATTTTCGCCACGGATTTGGCATTTTTCGCAACCCATGCAGGCGCGTTTGTTGGCGTTCCCTCTCTCGGATTCCTTGGACACCTGGTTGACTCAAACGACATTAACCTTCTTCATTAAAAGATCGCGGCTATCTGTAAATTTCCCCCTCTCAGTTCCAAGCGTCAACTGTAGTGCTTTCTTAAAAGATTTATTTCTGTTGCCGGTTCCTCCTTAACTGTTACGACACCATTCTGCAGCCTACGGACCTCTTATTGGGTTCCAAACGCTCGTTTGAGCCGTCTGAGGACGCCGTTGCTGCTTTTAACAAGGTAAAAGCTATCCTTGCCGACGCCACCTTCTTGATTCTCCCATCTCTCTCATGGTCGACGCCTCCGATTTTGTAGTCGGTGCCATTCTCTAACAGCAGTTTGCTGGTCACATCAAACCCTTGACTTTATTATCCAGGATGTAATAACCTGCCGAATCACGCCACAGCACGCTCGAGTGGGCGCTGCTTGCCGTCTGCCTCGCCATGAAACACTTCCGGCACTTCACTGAAAATAGGGATTTCACCGCCTTCTCCAATATCAAGTCCCTTTTCTCCACTCTCATGTCCACTTGCGACAAGCTCAATCCCCGCGAAATTCACCAGCTAGACTACATCTCAAAGTTTACTTCATACGTCAGCGAAATCGACAATTCACGCAATGAGGTGGCTGACGCACCGTCCAGGCCCTCATCCTAGATATTCAACTTTCTCTCAGGATCGACCTAGCTAAAATGACTGCTGAACAACGCCGTGTTGGTTCTTCCTATGCCGAAGACTTCTCCGAAGTCCAACTCCAGAACCTCCCACTGACCATTGGAGACGGAACCATTATCTGCGACGTCTGCACCGCCTCCCACCGTCTCATTGTGTCACCATCTCTCCGCCCCATGGTCTTCTCCTCGCTGCACAACCTTTTTTAACCACGGGGGTCGAGCAACCGACGAGCTAGGTTCTGACGGCTTTTTCTCGCCTGGAATGCACAAGAACTTGGAAGCATGAACACGAGCGTGTCTCGGCTGTCAGCGAAGTAAGGGCTAATGGTGCAACAAAGCTCCCATCGGCCCCTTCCCCACTCCGGATGCACGGTTGAGTCATGTCCACCTGGACATCGTAGACCCCCTGCCTCTGTCTAGCGGCTGTTTGCACCTCATCACCTGTGTGGATCGTTTCACGAGGTAGTCGGAATCTATCCCTCTACCCGATTTCGCTGCACCAACGGTTGTCAAGAATTTCCTCAGTCGTTGGTTTGCCGTTTTCGGCGCCCCCTTCGCAATTACGATAGATCGCGGTTCCCAGTTTGAATCTCACCTCTTCCAGTATCTTCTTTCCTTTTAGGATGTACTCACATCCGCGCTCTAGCTTATCACCCCTCTGCCAAAGAGACGGTTGGGCATTTCCACCACCAGTTGAAAACCTCCTCACGAGCGACAGAGGACCCGGAGAACTAAACGGACAATCTTTCCCTGGTCCTGTTAAGCATCCGCTCCGCCCTCAAGTCGGACCATGACTGTTCCGCCGCTGAACTGGTGTTCGGCGTCCATATCCGACTTCCCGGTGAGATGATATCACCAATCCCTCACAGTGCGGTCGAGGATCCCGTCAACCTCCTGCACCGTCTCTGACAATTTATGCGGACACTTTCCCGTTTCCGCCCAGGCCATCAGTCTCTGAGTCTTATCTCGAGAAAGACTTGACAGACTCCCACGTTTACCTCCAATGAGATCAAATCCGTCGGCCACTGGGACCACCCTATGGCGGCCCCTTCTGGGTTGTATTTCGAGGGACGGAGACATTCCGCATCCAACGCGGAACTTGTGGGGTCGTGAGCGTAGACCGCCTCAGAGCTGCCGTCCTGGACGCTGCTCTGGGTAAGCCCTGTGGTCCCCTAACCATTCCTGCACGTCCCCTACACTCTACCCCTCTCACCTCCCACATACTTCTTATTCCTCCATGTCCGTTGCCTCCGATTGCAACATCCTCATCAACCTCCAGTACCCCAGTCGCAGCACACCCTCACTCTTCTCCTTTGTCCCCTGTACGTATGACCCGGAGTAGACGTCATGTCCATTTTCTTCGCCGTTTAATTACTCACGCTTTTAGACATGGACAAATTCCTTCGGTTTTGAAGAAGGAGACACGATCGTTGAAACAAGAGCTTTATTAACGTGACGTTTCGGATTCCTGCTCGAATCCATCATCAAAGACAAAAGCAGATACGGGTGGTTCATGCACAAGGGGCTGCAGTATTTATAGGATGCAGTCGCCATGCTACCGCATACCTATGAATATTCACGGCCCTCCCTTTCATCAGGGGTCGTTGCATTGCAGCCCCTTGTGCATGAACCACCCGTATCTGCATTTGTCTCTAACGATGGATTCGAGCAGGGATCCGAAACGTCAGGCTAATTAAGCTCTTGTCCCAGCGATCGTCTCCTTCTTCAAGACTGCTTCCTGGGACTCGTCTCTTCGCTTCTATTGGCAATTCATTCGGTATCGTCACATGACGCTTTCGGTCTGACCGGGGGTACTGCGGATGTCCGCTTCCTTGATCGCCGCTGCATTGTCACACTGTCCTTCCGTCCCCCTCACGCTCCCTGCCAATTCGCTGCTGGGACCGCGCGAGGCTTGTCATTAGTCCCCCGAGAGCTCGAAGCCAGTCAACGCTGCCCTTTTGCTGATTGGCTACAGGCGGACACTAACCAAGACAGAACAAAGATGCACATGCGCGCAGGGAGCTAATAACCTAAACGGTGAACTCAAACAAAGAACAACGCACCTGGGAAGACAGCTTGGGGTAGCTGGTTGCTGAGTCTCCCGTACGCTTTTTGTTCAAGCGAATATCTGCGGCCAGGGAAAAAATGAAGGACCCATAAGACTCAAGTGACGCTGACCAACGACCCAAGCACTCAACCCCTGCCACTGTGTCCACATTGCCAACGGACATTCAGGACGCAGATCGGACACCTCCGGACTCAGTGAAGATTAACACAACCAGTCGTCCCATATCACAAGTCATCACCATGACCACTGCCATCACTGGGGTCACCACTATTCGAGAATACGAGGCTAACCCACGAGCAGCACAGACATAATTTCAATTGCGGACATTGCGAACGCATCGCAGCCGGGAGCCAGTGCCTTGGGATCTGATATACACTGTCCCGTACGCCCTATCTTTCCTCATTTTCATGGATATCTGTACACGCATGAGCTTACTCTTCACGTATACACTCATGGAAGACCTCTGTTAGGCATCACAGCCAGGGCCTTCTTTCAACAACTCTCTATAGCCGGACACAGGAAAAACACGGATCTATCCTGTTACATCTGCGTGCACACTAACAATCGCCACAACATCCCATGTCACTCATGCGATGATTGTGCGGTGAGATTTCTAGCACTTATGGCGCGCGAGACTTTGCGCGTGATAGTGTAGATCTCGCTCATGTGAGAAGCACGGACTTAAAAAAATGACCTTGTGGATTTGAGGGCCACCTCATGTGTGGTATGCAAGACAAAGACTTTCGCGCCCAAATCAGTCACTGTGCCCTATCGTATCGTCAGCTGGTTGGTAAGAACGAGCGACCAACTGGTGGCCGAGGGAACGGAAATTCAGGCCGACATTGAGGAATCTATCCCTATAATAGACCAAAAAATTCTCTATAGTCAAGTCGACGCCTGTGAGTCTATCAAGACGCGCCACCTGCTGCGACTTAGATTGTCAATTGACGGGGTAACTCGATCATACTCAGGACTAAGGGCAAGTCTGTAATAGCTTTGGACTCTTTAGTTTTCTCAACCACCCAGCCCGTGTCAACTTCCAGTTGCGCTGACTTTGCCGTCGGAATACGGTGGAGGTGTAATCAGCTAAGAGGCAGCACAAGTCTACTTTGCTAAAAATAAATTCACACAAGTTACTGCTGGGTCAACTTCATGAGGCAGTGCTGGACCGTGTCATTCGCGACGTCTGAAATATCAAGTACAAAGCTTCAAAAATCCTACCCTGATAACAGTTCATACGTGGCCCAGAAGAATAGCCCATTGTCGGAGGAAGTCACTTGTCTCCACGAAAAGCACGATTCGCATCCCAATTCACGTCACTAACGTAGCCTCAAGCGGCATGGAACGTACTTCCCAATTTGCCCGGTAACATTCAAGGTGGTTCTGTTGCACCAGTTGGTGGCTCAACAAAATCGTAGCTACTATTTGCAGGCGTGTAAAACCCTCCTGCAACTAATCGCGAATTCCCACCTCCTGAGGGCGTAAAATGTTCTAGCCCGATAGAAGAGACGTAAACCCTTTACTTCCCTGAGGTGTCCCTCGCGTCACCCAAAGCAGCCACCTAAACCTTGTTAATGTAGATGAGTTCCATGACCAGTCCGACAACAGCCCCTTTGCGCAGCTTTTCCGCAGTATCGTGGGGACCCGGACGGTGCCGTCAACGCCACCGACGCAAGTGCTGCCCACCTGCTCTAACACAACCGGCCCCTCGTCTGAATCACGCAATTGCCCGAGTCCCGATCGACCCAGTCGACTATATCACCCATTGGACTGTAGCGCACACAATTAGAAGTCTCACTACTGCCCACAATTCCATGGGCAGCGAATGGCTTGCGCGAGTTTGCGATAGACGAAAATGAGTAGATGAACTGCGGCATCCCGGCAGGTCAACGGGAGTCAATCACGCCTTCGAGACACAGGTGGATATTAGTTAATAAATTGTTAGTGAAGGCTGAAACGGCTGCACGTCGAATTTCACTTTGTTCCAGCGACTCACCTGACTGTGGTGATGCGGTGACACCGAGTGACGATTACCTTGTGTGATTAGGCCATGGCTTACTCGCAATACAACTTTTTGTGCCGATATAGTTCCAGGTCTTGTCAGTCGGGCGCAACGACTCGACAAACGACCCACGCATTTGCCCGTTCACATTCGATGTGCGCGAGCCCCGTGTCCGTACGCTGACGCCTAGCCCTCCGGTCTTTTGACAAGAAATGTGAAGCGACAGCGAGCAGTGATTTGCCGAATGCAAGCAAGCTAAATTGGAGTGAGGCCAAACGTAGCAGTGACTTCCCAAGTCTTAATTATGCCGAAACCCGTCGAACAGAGCCGTGCCACTGAATGCACATCAACATTTAGTCGCCCGAAAAGATAACAATGAGTACACTTAGCGACAGAGTTCCCCTCCCCTAAGAGTGATGCAGAATACCAATCAGTCCCTATGGCACGTACGGTTATGCAGAGTGCAGGACGAAGCAATCTGGAATCCTCGACGAAACGCATGTCAGTATCAAAATCTAAGCCGCCTCATGCGTATAAAAGCGGGCGGCTAAAACGCATTACACCGAGATCGCAAGATGGCCTCAACAGGTCCGGGCAAAAACTTCTACAAACCTGGGTTCGAAGCTACATCATTCGAGCTTTAGCCACGTCTGATACGAATTTCCAGTCAAAAAGTTGTCGAGAAGAAACCTAAAACGAACGGCGAGAGATTGGATGGGTGAATACTGGTCAGCAATACGGATGCAGCGGCATCCCCACTACGGCTGGACCTTACACCGAAGAGTTTGGGACCCACCAATTGCTATGGGGCGAACTATCCTCTCTGTTCTTGGTAAAGATATATTCGGCCATTGACTCTGTCGGACAGCACACACCGTCTCGAGGTCGACCCCAAAAAATTTCCCTTAGCATCGTCACACCCTTCGTTATAACTCCATTTACTACATGGCGCTCCCCGATAGGATTGCGATATCGGTAGCTCGCAGTATGACACACTGCAGCAAGTGCTATTTAGAACATGGGAATGGAGAGGGGTATATGTGGGCCGCCGAAGTCAAGCAAGCAAGGCAAAAGTGAGTAAAAATGATTCTTATTACAAACAGATAGGAGCCGGGGAGAAGAAATTGCCTTCCTTTTCTCCGTAAAATGCTTTAAGCATATACATCCTGACATGCAATCAGTTGTAGCCGGACATCGGTGGTGGTGGTGGTGGGGGCGGGGGGGCCGCCCGAAGGGCTCCTCCCGGTGGTGGTGGGGCTCCGACTGGTGGCGGCGGGAGTACACCACCAGCACCACGGCCATAGCCCGGGGGCATGCCCGGAGGTAACACAGCACCACGCGGCTGCATGAGTGTCGGAGCTGGCACGCCGACGCCCCAAACAGGGCCACCGAGCCCTACCGGTGCAGCGGCTGGTGGCGGCACTGAGGCGGCTGGAGTGGCAAGCGGCATACCACGACCGACGGCACGTCCAACGCCTGGCGTCGGCATCATCATCCCCATGCCTGCGCCCGGCAACGGTACGCGCGCAGTGTCCTCCGGCGGTGGTGGACCATCAACATTAAGACTGACCTACATTAAAATATGTGCGACGTATGGAATAACGACAGAAATGCAATTTGACTGCAGCAGATAGGCATACATGTCAGACGCTAATACGCGTGTGCCAATGTTTACACCAAAGGGGATGGCAGATGCGTAAGTGAAACAACAGACATTAGGGCATCCTTGTGTTTATCAACAGGAATATATAGATTTAATGGTTGCATAGGCATCCTTGCAAAACGCTGATACTTTCGAGGTTGCAACATAACAGATGTCACTAAGATCGGGAGATGAACTGTAGGGGAATCCGAAAAATAGACACAGTGCTGAGAGTAATAGGCCTCCTGGATTCAGGTCTCTGTGTGCACGCTAGATGGTCTATGGGGCAAAATACTAGCTGAAGGTCCTCTCATTTCGAAGTGATAGTTGTGTTAAGCACTTATTAAAGTGGTGGCAATGTACGACTTACACAAATACAACAGAAACATCTTTCTGGATGAGAAATTGGAATCTGCTAATTCATTCTGCAGGAAATGAATAAAACGCAAAGCGAGTACTTAGAACTACAAGGCATCCGAACATTTGCTTCGAATAATTCGAGACCGTTTTTATTCGCAAACGGAATAATGTGTTTTCGATATTACGTGCCACCGACCAAAATCTCCAACTTCGAAGTGGGGAACAGTTGAGGGACTAAGGAATTCGGCTCATAAACGTCTCCAACGTGGAAACCCACCACCGACAGGGACACCTGTTGATGAGATGTGAGACAATAGTCACATATGCTTTTCTAATGCATTCCGTCGACCTAAGAGAAAGCTCACGCGCGGCCACCCTTCCGATTCCCCATCCCAAATGCCGCGGCCGCCGTGATAGCAAACTAAAGTGGACAAACGTAGTTAAGGCGGGGATGGAAGATACTAGGCACAATGGTCTCAGGTTTTCGACAACTGTATCTCAACCGGACACCAGTCGCCGATTCTAGCTAGTGATCGCAGGATGTCGTACTACACCTGTGGACGCCATAGCAAGCTAAACCAGTCCTGGTGTTAAAAGATACAAGTACAAGTACGACAGACCCCAAAAATTCAAGTTATCGGAGGTCAGGTTTAGAACCAGACCGGTCATTAGTGATTTTGGCACCATCACTGAGAAAAAAATGAAAAACTTCCAATCTAGCTTGCGGTCAGAGTGTCAAACTACGACGACTAACTTGGATGAAATAACTTGTGTCGTTGCTGGTTGATCTGTAAGAAACTCGTCTAAGGTGCAGGGAGGAACAAATTTAGCTTGAAATCACCCTAAATTTCGATAGACGCATTGTTTGAATGTTAACGTAATCATTGCGGTACCCCCCAGGGAAGTCAAATATTGCTAATTAAAAACAACGCACAAGTTTTGATAATAATGTCCCAAAATCGGCTTACAGCTCTTCTACAACCTGCAGCAGGCAAGCCTTTTGGAGCAGCAAGAGTGGACGTCGAGGCTCGTCCACAATGACATATGATTAGACCCGTTCACGTTTCTTATTCTAGCGTCTCGCATTGGGAAATTATCGTCACCCCGGTTGGGCAAACCCAACTTAACAAGGAGATAATTCAGATAACGGATTATCGACAATAATAAGAGAGGCCATGATGGTCATCTCAGTTAATTAGCCGTCATCGGGGTGCAGAGGTGTCCAGTTGTGGGTTCACGTGACGGCCGTAGTAGGTCGCTCACTTGCTCGTAGGTGTTGACTACGCCTTGCGTCAATTTACTAGCACCTAACTCTCACATGTGGCTCCCCAAAGGTAGGCCCTGCCAAGCGGCCACACCCCCGTAATCGCCTCAACCGGCGGGCTAAACCAGGTGAGGGTATCTGTGTGGATCTGCGCACAAGGTAACTCGGCTCCGGTGGCCGGACGGATCACTGCCTCAGCATCTCCGGGATGAGGCGCCGTCTGTAACACCGCAGAAGGCCACAGTGTAAGTGAGCCCCCAGGTAAGCGAACATTGCTCTGTTGGATTGCTATTTGCCTGCTTGTTTGTGTTTGTCATTGTTAAAAACTTAATGCCGTCCGTTGAACTTCCTCTGTTGCCTTTGCTTTTTGCTGTTCTTGCCTGCCTGCATTTTGTCTGTTTGTTCGTGTCCGTCCTTATTGTAAGCTAAATGCCGTTCTGTTGAATTTGCCTATTCACCACTTATATTTCAGCAACCAATTAGCTTAGAGGGGACGGGAAAGATCTGCTTCCCATCGCTCTAACCTTTCCCTATCCCCCCTCCCCCCCTTCCAAGCCTTACAGCGATGTCGTAGGCAGGCCCAGGCTAACTCGGGCCGTTCTCCCACTAAACAAAATTCTTGGCTCATAGTGGAGCTCGGCAGCCGTCTATGAAAAACTCAACAGGTCTATTTAGGGAGCACTCCTCACTCCCGCGAGGGGGAAGGGGTTAGAAAATGTGCCCTAAACAAATGCAGGATCCATGCCGTCTGCAGGCTGACCGTGGCCGCAAACGCAAAACAAACGGTCGAAACAACTAAATCAGAAAAAACACTATTTCTTCCCCCTCCCCACCGTCCACTCCAACCTCCCAGTTGCTGCTGCTGCCGCCGTCGCCGCCGCCACCGCTGACGAGAACGCCTCCGGGGAGAACCGATGGTGTAAACTGCGTGACACAGTCCAGTCGACGGCGCTGGCCGTCCTCGTTCGGGCACGCCGCCAACATCGGGGCTGATTCGATAACAACGAGGCCGCCATCAGCAAACTGATTGGCGAAAACAACCGCCTGCACAAAGCCTACGTCAACCGCCCCATCAACGACAACTAAGCAGCCTTCCACCGTAGTCGCCGCCTTGTGCAACAGCGGCTGCGCGGGATGCCGGACGCCTGGGCTGCTCGCAAGGTCGAGGGGATCCAAGGATACGCGGACCGCAATGAATGGGGGAACGTCTTCACCGACATTGAAACTGTCTACCGTCCCACAGCCAAAGGAACCGCTCTTCTTCTCAGCGCCGACGGAAGTACCCTATTCACTGAGAAGACACTAATTCTACAGAGATGGGCCGAGCACTTCAGAGACGTCCTCAACCGTCCCTTCACCATCTCCGACGCCGCTGGCGCCCGTCTGCCTCAAGTGGAGACCAACGCCGACCTCGACCTCGCGCCCCTCTCCACGAAACCATCAGGGCCGTGCAGCGGCTCTCCAGCGGAAAAGTGCCCAAATCGAACGTGATCCCTGCTGAAATCTACAAGCACGGTGGCCCCCAAATCATGGACCACCTGACGGCGCTCTTCCAGGAGATCTGGAGTCGAGGAGAAGTACCGCGGGATCTCAAGGACGCCACAATCGTCCATCTTTATAAGCTGAAAGGCAACCGCCAGCTCTGCGATAACCATCGAGGCATCTCCTTGCTGAGCATCACTGGAAGGATCTTTGCTCGAATCCTTCTCAACCGCCTGAACAACAATCTGGAACAAGGTCCACTGCCGGAAAGTCAGAGCGGCTTCCGTCGTCATCTTGGGACCACAGACGATCTTCGCCGCCCTCCAACTGCAGGAGAAGTGTCAAGAGGTGAAAATCCACCTTTACTCTACCTTCGTGGGTCTGACGAAAGCCTTCGACACGGTGAATAGCGAAGGACTATGGAAAATCATGCACAAATTCGGCTGTCCCGAACGATTCACTCAGATAGTGCGTCAGCTCCACAACGGTACGATGGCGCGAAGCACAGGCAATGGAGCTGTCTCAGAGGCATTCGCAGTGACCAACGGAGTGAAGCAGGGCTGCGTACTCGCGCTTACCCTCTTCAGTCTCATGTTCTCTGTCATGCTGTTAGACGCCTACGGTGACGAACGCCGCGGGATCCGCGTCGCCTACAGGACGGACGGCCACCTCCTCAATCAGCGGCAGATGCACTTCCAATCCGCGTGCATCCACAACCATCGTCCACGAACTTCCATTCGCCGATGACTGCGCTATCAACGCCACCTCAGAAGGAGACATGCAAAGGAGGATGGATCTCCTCTCCACCGCCTGAGAAAACATCGGCCTGATTATTAACACGGAGAAGACGGTGGTCACGCACCAACCGCCACCCGGCGCTACTTACGTCGCATACGTCGCCCCACTGCAAGTGGTGGACAACTTCACGCATCTGGGCAGCATACTCTCCTGCACCACCAAGATCGACGATGAAGTGGCCCGCAGGATTTCCAAAGCTAGCCAAGTCTTCGGCCGTCTTCAGTACACAATCTGGCATTGTTACGGTCTCCATCTCAACACCAACTTCAAGATGTGTAAGGCAGTCATTCTGCCGACGCTGCTGTATGGAGCAGAGACCTGGATGGTGTACATGAAGCAAGCACGTAGACTCAACCACTTCCACCTCAGTTGTCTTCGACGGATACTGAAGCTTAGGTGGTAGGACCGGATCCCAGACAGAGACGTACTGGAGCGGGCGGGAATCCTCAGCATCCACGCTATGCTGAGAAAACTACAACTGCGCTGGAGCGGCCGCGTCGTGCGGATGGACGACAAGAGGATACCCAAAGAAATCTTCTTTGGCGATGTTGGGACGGGTTCACGCCGACATGGAGGTCAAGGCCGGCGCTACAAGCATACCCTGAAAACTTCCCTGAAACGCATGCAGATCAACCCGGCCAAATGGGAAGACCTCGCCCGAGACCGACCGACCTGGGGGAGGGCATTGAAAACAGGCGCAGCGATCTACGAAGCCGACCGCATCACCGCAGCCAAAGCCAAACGTGAGGCTTGCAAATCTCAACTGAGCCCACCTAACAACGCCAACGCCTAACCATCCCTGATCTGCCACGCTGCCAGCGGAATTTCGGTGCTCCTTCTTAACGTGACCTACGGCACTCTCACGGATGTGAGATGTACGTCGCCCAAACCCCATTGTATGAAACCTTGGTGCTCGTGTTTGGGGGCCATGTCGTACGTGTGACGCGCGCAGACATGGCCACTAAATATGTCAGCCACCGCGCCCATACTTATAGTTGGTACGACTGCTCTCATGCCTGATCTAGCCGGCCTCGATGATGTCCCTAACTGTACCTCTCCGCGGCAGAATATCTGGAGAGTTCAATCCATTCTCTTCGCCAAATACGGAGACCGAATACCGAAGGTCTAAGAACTACCTCCGTGTCTTGACGGACTGTGTCGAACCAGGTTTTGAGATGGCCCCCTCTTTGACGTTTCCACTGGGGCAACGCTGCCGGACCGAGTGCAGTAACACCGAGCTCCTGAGGTGGACGACGAAGAACACGCCCAAACCACATCAGTCGTCTTTCTTGGATGGCCTGGGTTATCCTTGCGATGTTGTCGCGGCGGGCGCGGACTGTCTCAGTTGTGACGAAGTCGGTGTACTTCACTCGAAGGATGGTCATCAAACCGTGGTAGTCAAATACCTCCAGTTTTCGCTCGTTTTTCACGCGCACAGCCCAGCATTCACAACCATAGAGAAGGAATGACCGGACAGATGGACAGTGCAAGCGAATTTTAGTGGCGATGGAGAGGTGGTATCGGACACAGGCATTTCCAAAGGCTCGAGAAGACCCGTCGGGCAGCATCGATTCGGGAGACAATGTCATCCTTGCTCTGACCATTCTGCAGCAGCCTCGTCCCGCGGTATTTAAAACTGTCTACTTCTTCAAGTTGACAGCCACCAATCCCGAGAGATGTCTTCTTCTGGTCATATCTCCCTCCATGAGGGCAGGTACAAGGATGCCTAAGCCCCAGTCATCAGGAGCAACCTCGTTTCTCCACGTTTGTTCAATCGCCTCATGGAGCCAGGGCGCCAGAGTGTCAACACAAGGCTTGTAGATTTCAGCGTGTATAACGTCCTTCCCGGGTGGCTTGTTGTTGCGTAGCTGTCGTATGGCATTGGCGACCTCTCCCTCGGAAGGGGGTCGCAGGGCACTACATAGGCTGGAGAGGGAAGAAACTCCCCTGCAGAAGAGAGCAAAGGCAAGGTAGGTTGGGTATCGAAGTTGAGATGGTGCTCGAAGTTCACACGCCAGCGCTCGAATTTGGGCGAGTTGTCAGCAGTAAAGCCGCCACTAACGTTCGGAACAGAGTCCCTCAATGTAGAGGGCTTACCACTGACTTGGCGGATAAGTCAGTAGAGTTCTTGAGTGTCACCAACGTTCGTGGCCGGTTCCATGGAGGTAGCTATTTCAGTCCAATATTGCATCCGCGCCCATTCCCCGCACCTGTCAGCTGGCCGGCTCAGACAGTGACTGGGGCCTGGGAGTGGGGAGAGTGAGGTCTTCGACTCAGCGCATCTTCCCCACTATAAACAATCTGACGCGCTTGAAGCTATCACGGTGCACTAAAAGCCGTGGCTTGGAAGGCTGTCAACTGACGGGATAACTTGGACCTCGCAGTCGACCCAGTGTTGTGTGCTTGTGTGGAGTGGCCGGCTGGTGGCCTAAGAGTCAGGCTGCAATGGCTCCTACTCAATGTGGCCTTTATGGCACGCCCACTCCGTCGGATCCGAACCAGGTGTGACCCCAACTGTGTCAGTAACCCTTTAGTTGTTGGACAAAAACTTGGTCAATTGGTGTGTGGACCAGGAGGTGTGGAGTGGAGAGTCAAGATGCGGGCTCAACCATGCCATCCAACTGCGTGCTCGCCCCTCTCCGGTCGTCTTGACTATGTCTTGACACCGGGTCAAGGTGGGGGAAGAGGATAGAGTGCAATAGATGCTGCGCAAGCCTACCGTCACTATAAACTAGATCACGCGCAAGTCACCGTGCCTGCCTCGCCTTGGCATGGAGCACACAGCGGCAATCGTCGGCAACGACGGCCGAACTGTCAGACTGGCCTTCAGCTCCACGAGCAGCATATGTTACCACTCGATATGCAAATGCCTGCGAGAGCTTGTGATTTAAACCCAGGGTGCAACGAGTTTAACACTTCCTGTAACCTGATAGGTGAGCACATTATTATAACATAATTTATTTGATGAAAGTTAGACCTAGCTGCAGGGAGGCAGCCGTAAACCGCAGTCATCCGCTAATTTCGTCGCAGCGACCAATAGGATGCCTGCTCGAGATGCCCATGTACAGTTCGGTCGTTGCAATCGCCGGCAATAAGAATAATATCCCTACCAGGCGGTCCACCAAGTGCCACTACGATAAGCTACCTCGGGAGCTTTCACGCATCTCCGCGCTCCCAGGTTCGGCTAAGGAGCCAAACTACAGGTTATGAACAAATGATGGACGCATTAATGCTAGGGTGCCGATCATCTGGCTTTAATTACCTTGCGGGGACCCGTTTTTCCCCATATGGGAGGACCTAACTGCTGTCTCGTTTGTCCAGCAAGGGTTTGCTGGAGTCTATTCACAAGGCATTAACAGACAACACGCCTATTTTAAACCGCCATTCCAATATGGGTCCTTTTAATCTGTCGGACGGGTCAGCTTCGCCATAAAATTTTAAACATAAACAAGAAAATTCGCTGCAGTTGTACCATTAGGCATGTTCAGCTTGCAGTGAGGATGGCCACAATGGGGACACCAATTGTCAAGTTGCTGAAAGTCCTCTAAGATCATTCAGTAAGAAAAATCAGAAAAGGCTGTAACACACCATGAAACTGAGATATTTAAGCGGACTGGAGCTACTTCTGGTGCGGACCCAGGATTAGAACGGTGTGGTCGAATGTCGCTGAAAATGCCAGTGCCCCTTCCCCTCATAATCGCTGATACCATCGCCGTAGACTTTACCGCTACCTCTTGTCGCATGTCAGCACCTTCCAAGACCATCCCCTGCAGCTGTACAGAGCGTTGCACTCCTCACCGGTGGTCTAGCAGACATGACGCTACACCTTCCCCCCACTCCAAATGGGTCAATCGCATGTGTGACACACAGTTTCTCGTATTATTGTATCCCTTCTACGTTTTGACTCGTTTATCACCATTGGTAGAATTTTCATACACTTACTACTTTTACCTGTGATATCCGTATGCGTATTTGGCGCAGAGCTTGTCAACTTCAGTGCTTCCGTTGCCTGGAAACGATTCCAAGTGCCTTACTTAACCGCATGTATCATTTTCAACGTTGTCGACCGGGACTGACAAAGAATTAAATGAACGAACTGGCTAGCTAACGAAGGTCGTTATGACGGCAATTGTTGCCTTGAGAATGCGTCAAAAAATATTTGACGAGTTAGAAACGTCGGTCGACTGCCGAGGGTTATTATGTGGGAATCCGAAACCACAGGAAATAAAATGGCGTCCGTGACTCTTATGGTCAACGTGTTACAACCGAAGTCTCGTTTGTTTGAAAAAGAAATGTGTGCGGAGATAGGTGTCCAGTTCGATGCAAAGCTTGTCGACTACGCGCTAACCTCACCAAGCGAGACTGGTGCTCAGATGTAGGACTGATGAAGACCAGATGCAAAGCGAGCAAAGTAAATCCGGGTACAATAGTTTTTGGAATGCCGGCAGAACAGGCAAACAATTCTTCCAGATCTACCCTAACGGCGATGCTCAAAGAGGAGTCTGCTAGCTACCTGGGTAGCACGGAGATTAGGTCTTGTGGGTGTGTGGGCATAAATATAGAATGCCGAGACAGGTGACATGGGAGCATCAAGAATAAGTGCATAAAAACAGACCGGCGAGGGCAGCATAAGTCGACAACTAACCAGGAGCCACCCATTAAGACCGACCATCAAAAGGAGGCCAAAGCAAACTCACTATGTGCTCTCCGCGAAGAAGAACAAGTCCAAGAGGACGCTTCTCCTGACGCGCCTGTTTCGCGTTGCGATTTTTGACTGTGCGGAATTCGTCGCAGTCACAGAGTACGAGGTTCATATGGCGATCGAAAGCCTTAAACGTTCCAACAAGTTGTCTTCCATCCTGAAGAGTGCATCTTAACCGATAATTTATATGCTGGCTGATTTTCGCATTTTTGCTGATGGGCTAAGATTGCAATGGAATTAGAAAATGACACTACCATCCTGCTGACACGGCGAGTCAAGCAGCACGGAGCAAGCTAAATCGGAGAACTGATTGGTCCGCGGAGCGATGTTCGTTCGAAGTGTTTACGAAGGGTTCGATCTCAAGGTTTAGGCGGAGTTAATGGGTCAATCGGAAATATCCAAATCCCTAGTTAATTTGCAACTATTCTTTAAGAATGTCACGGATTTTAAAAGGTAGGCGGAGCAAAAGAGGATTGAGTAAATACGTATGAAGCGAATTTCAATGAGCAGGCCTGTAGGTCAATGAAAACTTTCCATTTTTCTCTTTAAACTCTCCTTTACACCCGAACTTTTCTGTCCTGCTGCTTGAATAACCTCAAATGCACACTCCTGGTTTCGGCTTCAGCCAACGCATGTTTTTGTGTCCGTCTACTGCTTGGTGCCATTGCGTCGTTGTCTGCGCGCATGTGTCTCAATTCTTTTTAGTCAACTTCTACGAAACATTTTTATTTCTCGGTCGTATCTTACCGGACGTGAATTTACCCAAACAACAAGCTCCAGTAATTTGCTTCAGCAGGGGGCCTTCTAGACTTTATCCAGAGCATGCACTCTACGACAGCCGATACTGGAGAGGGCTTCAATTTTTCGATTCTGTACAATTATTTACCTCTGCCGCTTTCCCAAATTCCTTTGCCATCGTTTTTATTTTGTAAGAAACACAGCAACCCTAGTTAAAGACACATTTTTCCTGTATCTAGTTTTCTTTTTTGTTTTAGTTGACGTCTGCACTACAAGACTGTGGAGTGGCGTTTAACAGCAGTCGGCTCGATTAGACTCAAAAAGCGGGATAAAGGACAAAAACAGATTAAATCAGCGAAACAAACTAATTAGGCTTGAGAAAATATATCGGTGGGAACTGTTAACGGGCGAATCTAAAATAAACTTTGCAAGCATCCGAAAGCAGTGCAAATCTCCACGAACGATATACAACAAATTTGTCAACTTTTCAGGTAGACTTGAATCCCAAAGCTCACGCCTATTTCCCTGACAAACTGACCTGAAAGAAATGTCAAGTATGTAAGCATTTCTTTTGGAGATATGTGCGGATCCGGAGAGAGAAATGTATTTTGAAGAAAGTGGAGGTGTTTTATGGAAACCCGTCGCCAGGATATCTGTCAACAGTTACAAATTAGACGACAATACCTTGAACTCAAAAGCCCACGTCTGTTTTTCTTAACAAACTGAACTGATTATTCACACCGTTCCGAATAAGGAGAAGTTTTGACCACACAGACAAAAGTAATAGTGAGACACCAACCTTTAATTACGAAAAACTCGGTAGAGTTTGTGCTCACTGGAGCAAGGACAAGACTCCTGTGCAGCAAACGCCCTGACCACCTGAACTACGAAGCCTCGACCGGTATTCGTGCGTTCGATCACAGTTCAAGTCAAGTTATCCTTGTCTTTGCCGTCTTGGGTCCAAAGTCCACCGAGCCGGTCGAATTTTTCACATGCGAGTCCAAATGAATTATTCATATCTGCCAAGAAACAGTTTTAAAAATTGTTAAGGATAGGATGAAAGCTATGTGAGGCGGTTGCCCCTCTTAGGCGTCAGCGGGGTTGCCTGCGGCCAGCCTAACACATCTATCATTCAAGGCTTCCGAGCGCGCGACTCAGCCCGCAGCTCGCCGATACAGCGACGCTGATCAATGTTCCCTCCTCAACCGATCGGTTTCAGTCACACAAAGCTCCGCCACAGACCCACACTCCCCGTCTGTGCGAGTAACTTAAACGACTGACACGGACCCCGGAGACAGTTGTCGCCCTTGCCTGCTTAACCGCGTGTGCACCCTCTCGCCTCGACGACGGTTGTCAGAACACAAAGCGCACATTCATAGAGAGTGGAGTCCCACAAGGCTCGGTGCTCGGACCAACCCTCTTTCTCTTGTTCATCAATTATTGTGTAGATGGGTTGGACTGTGATAATGCCATGTTTGCGGATGACATAAAAATCTGGAAAGTTATTCAGAATGCTACCGATGAGACCAACTTCCAAGAAAATCTTTGTCGATTGGACGAGTGGTCCCGCAGATGGCTATTGTCCTTCAATTTGACCAAATGTACCATACTGCGCCTCGGAAATCAGACTCCTAATACGCGGCAGTACCATCTGAACGGAATACCACTTCGAAAAGCAGAAACGCAGAAAGATCTCGGAGTCTGGGTTGCAGACAACCTTAAGCCTTCTACGCAATGTTGTAAGGCGGCCAAGGCCGCAACTTCAATGCTATATGCCATCAAGCAGGCATTCGCAGTTTTCGATGAAGACTGCTTCTCCAAAGTCTTCGGCACGTTTGTAAGGCCGCACCTCGAATATGCAATTCAGACCTGGAGACCATGGACACATCAGGATTACAATCTGCTCGAAAGGGTGCAGAGGCGAGCCACAAAATTAGTAAGAGGTCAAAGTGTATTGCCATACGAGATCCGCTTAACTAACCTTAATCTCTATCATCTGAGTTATAAGCAGTTGCGCGGAGACTTGATACAAACTTTCCATATCGTGCGTGGCTTGGACTGCGCCCTTCGGTGCGATGAATTTTTCCAACTCGCCACAACAACTAACCTCCGGGGACATCCCTTCAAGTTACGTGTGCCCCAGGGTAGACTGAATGTGAGAACATATTTATTCTCCAACCGTGTCGTGGAACCGTGGAATAATCTGCCCGAGACGATTGTCATGTCTCAATCTGTGGCGACATTTAAATGTAGACTTGACAGACATATGCTACAGCACCAAGCGGACTATGTGACTTTTTAGCCATGAGACCAGTGTCATATGTGAATCAATGCCTGCATACACTTACTGCTGTAATTTCGTCACATTCTGCTAATTTATCGATTTTTTATGTACAAAAAGGGAGTTCAAAGGCGTAAGCCTATTTCCTTCAAATACACTGACTGACTGACTGACTGTCTTTGTTGATGTCGAATTGTCAAACCCCGAGTTCTCGACCATCGCATATCGGTGGGAGCAACAAGTTGTTGGATAACAAAGTAGCCAGGTTTTGTAATATAGATCTTGCAAATTCAAGTAAAAATGAGCCCGAGTACATTAGTGGTGAGAATAAATAACTTAGATGACAGAGAACCTTGTGTGGCAATAAGTTTCTTAATCTATGATGCTACACAGGCTCACATGCCCGTCTGAGAGTGAATCAGGATGTTCTTCGGTCACTAAACAAGGGATGCTGGCACTGTCGGAGGACAAACGGCACTCCAGAGGTTCACTTGATAAGACTGAATACTTCCAGAAAGTGACAGCCCTGCTGGAATTCCATAGAACCCGCCCCGTATGATGTAGATATTCCGTGGAGGATGGAGTCGAAAATCAGCAAAATGCTCCCGGGTTCCGAAAGAGCTCTGCACTAACAAAAGCAAACCCATTACCTAGAAACCACACAGATATGTCCACAGCAAAATGTGGCGGATGCGCCAGCGCACATAAGGTACTTATTCATATTTGATCCCTTGTATCTTTGGAAGAAACATTCTCATTCAACCCGACCAGAGGGCTTTTATGTAGCCGTACATCCTCATGTAGGGCTCTGGTGAAGTAGATTTCCCGACCGTACAGCCACATTTCAATAGAACTTGATGAACTGTCAGTCTCAACACCTAGGCCAGAGAGCCTGGCACATGAAGCAGCATGTGGTCTACACCGGACCCAGCACGACGAGACAAACAAACAACGATTTCCGAATCAAGATCAATATTGAGCTCTCGATGAGAGGGAATAAAAACCTCTATGTGGTCAAATTAGACTAATACTGTCAGGATTCACTGCTGAGGTCGTCATCCATAAGTGACAGCACCAGTGTCCGCACCTTCAAACGAAAACTTTGGACGTTGCATGTGGACGATATGGTGTCCAGATGGGTATGGTGTCCAGATCTAAAATTCCATTTTCTCTGTCATGCAGACATCAGTAGAAACAGCGGAAGACAGCCAAAAACCGCCCAGGATGCATCTGTGGAGATAGGCTGATCAAAGACCCCAAAATTCAAGAATCACAAATCGGGAAACATAGTCGCATAGACAGGCTTTGTTGAAGCAAAAAACTGTGCAAGCAGCTTAAAAATCACTTGCGGTAAGCGTTCTCACCGGGCAATTGGCAGTCGGAGTGCATGCACCTAAGCGTCGTTCGTCTACGGTCAGTCGGTGAGGACAGAGATTTCGATCGGCTCCGCAGTGTCCGGCAGCCCCATTGTCATACGCGCGCAAGCAGTGACTGACAGGCGTGCTAGGCGAGCTGAAGACGACACAGCCAAGCGGCCACGATGACGACCACGAGAGTGGCTTGTGTAGCAGCCCCTGGCTAGATGGATGGCGGAATGCAACGATGCTGAGTGAATTTTTACGTCTAAAACCTAGATAATCTATCAGTCGGGAAAGTCAACATAGCGTCCACTGTGTGTGATAAATCTAGAGACAGGAGGAAAAGGATGCGTGCGTGTTGCGGTGGGGAAGTTGAAAGATGGTGGGGTCACAGTTGGAGGTGGTGGGCGTATCGCGGCAGGAAGTAGACGGGATGGAAGGACAGAGCGTAGAGGAAGGGAAGGAGCGGAAGGTAGGGGGTGGACGCATTTTTCCTTTGAGGCATATCAGACGGTCCCTCCGGGACAGCAACTTTAACCAACTTGACGCCGACCATATTCTCCTTGGCTCCACGAAAAATCTGGCAGGTCTTGGTAATGTGTGAGAGCATCAAGAAAGGCACTTCGTATGGTGAGTGCAGTGGTTTACGCTCACGGTCATCTACAACGAACACGGGAATGCAGTCGGCCGAGCCTTCCTCTACAGAGAGAGAGAAATGCGCTTTATTTTGAAATCATATGTTCAAAATTTTCAGCAAAAAGTTGGCTCCATTCACTATGGGCCGTAAATAAGTTAATAGATTATTCAAGAGTCAAAGTTGAACACAAAGAAACGATTATTATGGGGATAGTTCAAGTCTTAGCTTCTGTATTTCTGTCTCTTCGCACGTAAGATAGCGCGCTAGGAATGGCAATACAGAAGCTCGATAAGCCGATGTGCGACAGGATATAAGACGGAAGTTGCGGCGCATCGGGCGGGAAGACTTGGCAGACATAAGATCGGAATGTAGGGGATAGGCAACGTCATCTAGAAGTCGACCAGCAAATTGCTTGACCGCACTGAAGTGTCGTTGTAAGATAGTGTCAACTAAAAAATATAAGAAACGCCAGCAGCAGAAGAGAGCATGCGGAGGATTCGTTTCAAAATTAAAAGATCCTTTTTTAACAAAGAAGGAAAAACGACAGGAGAACAGTATAGGATAAGAGGAAGAATGCAGGCATCAAGGAATCGCCAGACTAAGGGTTGAGGTGTGTGGTAGGAACGTAAACGACGAATAAGGTAAAGAACTTTACGAACTTTAATAAATAGGGACTCAATATGGAGGGAAAAAGAAAGATTTGAGGACAAAGTAACGCCGAGATGCCTGAAAGAATATACTTTGTTAGGAAGAATGTCAGAGGAATCAGGCTTAGGAGAGGGCTGCAGTCGCAAAATACACTGAACGGATTTTTGGTTGTTAATTAGAAGACCATTTTCCTCCGACCACGCTAGGACATGGTTTAGGCCATCCTTTAGAGACCGGAGGTGTGTCTGACTTTTGAGAGGGTGTCCAACAACCACATCGTTAGCATACTTGACCAGAAGACAGTCATTAGGGGACCTGAGATCATCAGTGTGGAGGGAAAAAAGGTGAGGGGATAGAATGGAACCTTGAAGGACACCGCAGTCGTTGGGAAGGGTCGAAGATTTCCGCTTGCCAGATTGGACAAATTGGGTGCGGAAGGTAAAATAATCGCTCAGCCAAGGGACGACCCAGCCTGGAGAGCCACATACGGAGGTTTTGGAAAGGAGAAGAGGGCGCGGGACGGTATTAAGGGCGGAGGAGTGATCAAGAAAAGCGCACGCATACTCGCGGCAACCCTTGTCTAAGGCTTTTAGAGCAGAGTGGACCACAAGAGCGACAGCATCTAAAGTACTCCGTTTAGCTTTGTATGCAAATTGTAAGGGCTCGGAAAAACTGGAAGAAAAAGGCTTTATGATATCTAGGGCAACTCTTTCAGCAAGCTTTAGTATTGCTGAGGAGCAGGCAATTGGGCGAAAAGATTTAGGACCAAAGTTAGCAGGCTTTTTAGGGATGGGAGTGATTCTCACTGTACGCCAGGCGTCGGGAATCTTGGACTCCATGAAAGACATATTGATTAGGTGCGTTAAAATAGAGGCTATCTGAGAACTGCAAGATTTAAGAAGAAAAGGCGAGACACCGTCCGGTCCGGCAGCTGTTGATCCACGGACCTTTTTAAGGTGTTCCTCTACTGTTGCCAAAGACACGGGTTGGAATGTACTCGGTGATAGGTGAATGTCTTCTAAGGGAAGATGGGAGTCATTGTGACTAAATATAAAATTTTTATCTAGGGAGTCTAAATCTGCATCCACATGCACCAGCGTGTTTCGATGGCCAGTGAGACGCTTAAGATTTTTCCAAATCTCAGCTGAGGAAAGGGGGAAAGGGGGGGAGTAAGAAGAGGAAAACAGTTGGCTGACAAACAGGCTATTTAGCCTGTCAATCTCTGTTTTTATTAAGACGGTAACGTCCTTAAGGTTATCACGTATGCCTAGCTTGTAAAGGAGTTCTTTTTTACGTCTTAACGATTTCAGATAGGGAGAAAAAATTCTATCCGGTCGTACCATAACAGTATCAAAAGAGCAGCAAAAATCGAAAATTTCATTTAAAAACGCTGTCAGGTTGGAAGAACAGGATTCAACATTAGAATGTTCAAGGAAAGTGGGGATAGTAAGAGAAATGCAAGTCTGAAGCATGGGGATGTTTTGGGCGGACGTGTTGCGAACCTTAACCTTTCTCTCAGGCTTGGCAAGCAGTGCACGTTTTGAAGTGGAATAGATTTTTGGAAGGCACAATAAAGTGGAATGGTCAGAACCTGACAATGGAGCCCTGTTTTTTACGCAAAGAAGCTTGTTGTGGTTAGTCAGAATATGATCAAGAGGGGCATCTGCCCGAGTATTAAAGGAGACAAGATCATCGAAGCCTAAAAGTGTAAGGGGACGTAAATTCACGCGATTAAAATCACCGCATAAGAGAGTAAGATAGTCGCAGGATAATATAGCAAGTTTTTGTGAGAGGAAGTCGAAAAAACGGGTTAATGCACCTTCACAGGAAGAGAGGGGAATGTAAATACTAACAATTATGATGTCTTTAAAATTACTTAACAAACGGGGCTTACATAAAACAACGATTACATCTATTAACTTATCAGAGAAAGAAAAAAGGGACTTACAGTCTCTACACCAATTTTGATTAACGAAAATGGTAACGCATCCACATCTGCCACAAGATAAAGATTTTCTATCTGTTCGAAAGCAATAGAAGTGTAAGAACCGGAAAGGCAAGTTTGTTTAAAAGAGAGAGAAAAACGGGCGAGCAGGAAAAAAGGAGGCGGGAGGTTTCGTGCCGTGGTTTGAGTGCGCCTTCTCTCTGGTGTTTCAGGTGAGGACAGTGAACGTGAGCAAGGGAACGCCCAAAACCCCGTGGATATCGTACCTCCGAAACCACCTCCCTGACCAGCAAGTGTTTCCTCTTCCCTCCTTTACCCCCTGAGACTTTCCGCGTTTTTGACCCCCCTTGTACTCTCGTTTTCGTACTTCCCCCTTTTCCCAATATATCGTTTACCTGTTGCATCTTCTTCGACTGTTCGGATCACATCTGTACGCTGAGACGTTGTCTGGTCGCCCGATGCCAAAATCTAAGCCCAACTGTTCAGGAAAGGTGAAAACGGCCCCATCCCCATCTCCTTCTATCGAGCGAGTCGACGTAAGCCAGGAACTAGCCTCCCAACTGAAGTCCCAGGACGGTCCGCCTACTACAGTGGTGGCAGCGCAACGACCGTGCCCACAACCCCTGAACCTGCCCGGCAGCAAAATAAACACAACGCGCACCGTCAACATACCACCCTACGATGGTACCGAGTCTTTTGCTGTGTGGCTCAGACGGGCGAAGTTCTATTTGCGGGAGATCTCAGAGGCCGACAGGCCCTGGACATTACTCAAGGCCCTCGCGCCTAAACAGTTGGATAAAGCGCTCGACGCTGGTCTCGACGCCGATCTTCCCTTTGACGCGCTTTGCCAACGCCTGTCCAACCTGTTCAGCCATAGGTACTCCTTCGGCGACGCAATGGAACAGTTGCAGCAACGGAGATTTAACCAGGACGAAACCCTAAACCAGCTGGTGGAGGATCTGGGACGCCTGACGACTGGGGCGTTCCCCTCTTTGGGCTCCGCAGATAAAGACAACACCGTACTTTATTATTTTATTAAAGCAGTGCCGGCATCCGACCTTTTACGCTCACTGTTGTTGCAGCCGCCGGACAGTTTACAAGAGGCCGTCACCAGGGCCGAACGCTACCTGCGATTGTGCCCTTCAACCTCCCGTCCCCTTCCTCCTGAAGACGCATACGATCGAGATGCCCACCCTACGTCCGCGGGACGAGGTACCTTCTATCCCCCACGACGTTTCAGAGGCCAAACACGGCCACCCTTTAATCATCGAGGACAACCGTTTCGCCGGCCAGGTGGACAAATGTCTCCCAGCAACCATATCTGCACCTGTCAAAGGACAACGGGTACGGTCTCTATTACTTCTTGCACCAGCTCTACTTTATCAGTTACCCCTTTTTATGCCACAGTAACCGTAGCTGTTCAGACTGTACGGGCGTTGATTGATACGGGAGCGACGGTATCCCTAGTTAACCCACGGGTCTTACAACCGGGTATCCACCGCCAGCGTAATGACATTCCCCACCCAGGGAGATTGACCACGGCCGACGGATCACGCTTAATACACCACGGGACCAAACGATGCCTTTCGGCCTCTGTAACGCGGCTGCTACATTCCAACGGCTGATGCAGGTAGTGTTGTCACACCTCTATCCGCGCCAGTGCCTAATCTACCTTGACGAAGTCATTGTCTCCGGCAAAACTATCGCCCAGCATAACGATAATCTACGCGCCGTGCTCCTAGCGTGACGCGAGGCAGGCCTTACGCTTAACCCACAGAAGTGTCAATTCCTGCGAGAGAAGGTTAATTACCTAGGACACGAAGTCAGTCCGTCGGGTATCAAAGTCTCAGCCGAAAAGGCGGAAGCTATCCTCACTTGGCCGACGCCAAACTCCACCACGGAAGTCAGAAGTTTTATCGGGTTGGCGTCCTATTACAGACGGTTTATTCGCGATTTTGCAGGTATTGCGCGTCCGTTACACCGACTTACAGAGAAAGGGCGCGAATTTCGTTGGACGGACGAATGCCAGGCCGCGTTTGATGAGCTGAGAACCCGCCTGTCGAGAGCACCGATACTTATGCTCCCCAATACCACCGAGACGGCGCCACCCTTCGTACTGGACACGGACGCCAGTGCCTTCGCCATGGGAGGTGTACTTTCGCAAACCGACGATAACGGCCTAGAACGCGTTATCTGTTTCGCTAGTAAAACACTCATCAAGCCACAACGAAATTACTGCACATATCGACGTGAATTGTTGGCCATAGTCACCTTCGTCAAACAATTTCGGCCATATCTGCTTGGAAAGCCGTTCGTCATACGCTCCGATCATAAGGCTCTGCAATGGCTACAAAACGCGAAGGACGCAGAGGGTCAACTTGTTCGCTGGCAGGAAATGTTACAGGAATATCATTTCACTTGTACATACCGCCCCGGGAAACAACACGGCAACGCCGACGCTTTGTCCCGACGGCCAACAACGCCAGCCACACACGATGAAGACGGCGCGATAGGCGAAATAAACGCCATTTACGCCAGCGAACCAGCTAGACACCATTTGGCAATAGCCCAGAGCACAGACCCGGATACTGCAGTAGTTTACGACCACCTGTTAAACCGGCGACACCGTCCTACGGACGATGAATTGCGTCGGTCGTCAGAAGAAGCACATATACTGCGGAGCCAATGGCCACGGCTGCATATCGACGAAGATATCCTTCTCATTAAGGACGAGAGCACAAAAACCGACAGAGTAGTAGTACCAGGCAGTCTCGTACACGTGGTCCTCACGGATCTACACGAGTTAGGCCACGTCGGGCAAGCCAAGACAGAAGCCGCCACTCGGCAACGATTTTGCTGGCCCCATCTACGAGAACACGTCGCCACCTTCTGCAATACATGCACCACGTGCGCTAAGTTCAAGGCACCTAGACAACTCCCACGTGCACCGTTGCAGCCCATGCACACTAGCTTTCCGTTCCAGCGGCTGGGCCTGGACATCATCGGCCCCCTCCCCTTTACGACAACCAGTCGTCGGTTCATACTCGTGATGGTGGATTATTTCACCAAATGGGCAGAGGCTGTGCCGCTATTACGCCAAGACACAGTGTCGTTCACCAACGTAATCTTTAACAACTGGATTTGCCGGTTCGGTGTTCCGTTGTCGATACATTCCGACTGCGGGGATAACTTCGACAGCAAACTGCTGCAAGAGGTTTGTGACCTCCTCGATATCTACAAGACCCGCACCACTCCAGCACACCCCGAAGGCAACGGATTGGTGGAACGAACCAACCGTACCCTGAATCAACTGTTGAAGGCGTTCGCGGAAGACCATCATCCCCACGACTGGGATAAACGACTACCGTGCGCCATGATGGCGTACCGTGCTAACACACACACGTCAACGGGTTACCCACCTTTCTTTATGCTAACAGGACGTCAATTTCGCCTTCCCGCAGATTCACGGTTCCCACAACCCGCCGCAAACGAATACGCACCAGATAGCTACGTATGGCAGTTGCAGGATTTGCTACGCTCCGCCTACACCCTCGCACGTAACCACCTAGGAGCGGCCGCCGAACGACAGAAAACATACTTTGACCGTCAGGTCCACGGCAACCCCTACCAACTAGGCGATCTGGTTTGGCGTTTCCGACCGGTACCGCCCTTAGGGACTGCGGCCAAGTTCTTTCACCCGTGGGAAGGACCATTCGTTGTTGTCGACGTCATACACCCCGCCACGTATGTATTGCGTGATGCCTCACGCCCTGATGGACCCACCTTCACCACCCATTTCGACAAGCTAAAACCTTACAGAGGACGGCTACCCACCGCCACCGCGGACGTAACCCTCATCATTCCCCACATTTAGTGCCCACCCCAGTGGTTGAAGAAACAGTAGACATGACCCAACCAGACAGACCTGCGGACAGGGCTCCATTTGAGGAGGGGGGTATTTAAGAACCGGAAAGGCAAGTTTGTTTAAAAGAGAGAGAAAAACGGGCGAGCAGGAAAAAAGGAGGCGGGAGGTTTCGTGCCGTGGTTTGAGTGCGCCTTCTCTCTGGTGTTTCAGGTGAGGACAGTGAACGTGAGCAAGGGAACGCCCAAAACCCCGTGGATATCGTACCTCCGAAACCACCTCCCTGACCAGCAAGTGTTTCCTCTTCCCTCCTTTACCCCCTGAGACTTTCCGCGTTTTTGACCCCCCTTGTACTCTCGTTTTCGTACTTCCCCCTTTTCCCAATATATCGTTTACCTGTTGCATCTTCTTCGACTGTTCGGATCACATCTGTACGTTGAGACGGATGGGGGATGTAATAAGTTGCGAATCAATGTCACTATTTAGCCACGTCTCTTGAAGGCAAACAACTTCAGTTTTTCTGTGTTCTTTTTTCGACAAAAGTAGGTCCAAATCATGGGTTTTGTTGAAAATAGAACGACCGTTTGTCGACAAGAAGGCAGGACTTGACAATTTGTGATTTGGCAGACGTTTGAATGCGAATTGCCTGCCACAACGGTGTTTTCTCCTATGCATAGGCTGTTGTTGACGAATATGTAATAAATTCAACACAGAACGATCACAACTACGACATATTGGCCGTAAAGTACAACGGTTTGCATCATGGTCGTTCGTAAGTGAAATTGACAATTTAATTCCGTTCAAAATGGTGCTAGCGTACTGTAGAGACGACCTCATAATCTTAGCTCAGACAAACAAAGGATGCGAAACAGTTCAATATATCGAAGAAAAAAGGCATAATAATGTACAATTAGTAAAAATCCACACGTAAATGGAGAGCTACAAAAATGGCGGCTCAAATTCAAAAGCCCGCCTAGACCTGTTGGAAACGTTCATGTCGGAAGTAAAGAGAAAAAACGGATAGATTGTCGCAGACGATACACAGAGTTGTCAGGATTCTCGCCGGCACTACGAGAGATTGTGATTACTACCACGCGCGACAGACGCATGGATGTGCCGAACACTAAATTCCGACGTACAGCAATTCAGATCCAACTTCAGTACGATACGAGTGCCGGGAAGTGCAAAGGGCAGGTTGTCAGACCAGTTCATCTGGTTTTCTGCGGCACGCAGGGCGGTTTTTAGGTGGCATTAGAAACGCTCGACCACGCTTTTGGCTGCTGGGTGATAAACAGCCGTCCGAATGCGTGTATAGCCGAGAAAGGTGAAGGAGATTTGAAAGAGGACAGATTCGGATTGCTTACCTCGGCCAGCGTACCCATGGGTAAGGCACTGAGGGTGTCGATCCAATGACTATCGAAGCTCCTGATGATGATATCTGCAGCGTATCCTGTCCGGGCCGTCAGGGCATCATGCCACAAACGCGTGACGAGCGAACGATCAAGGTCATGACCCCTGTTCACACCATCAACCTATGACAGTCCCCGTTGCCATATGCCCGGACGTTTCCCCAAGCCTCCTAACTTGTGCTGTCTATCGTACTCAGTAAACGTTCTATTTCCAATTATCCTTCTGTTTTGCATACATAACAATATCCCCCTCCAAATTCGCAGAGGAATGACCAGCCCAGCCAGCATACCTCTCTCTCGACGCAGGAAAGGAGGTGAGTATGATCACTAGACAGAGCAAGGGGCCTACCACACCCAGATGAGCATAGCTGAGCCGTGTATCGGGACTGGGGAAAGTGCCTGGCAGAGACCTGTTGTGGCACCGCATCCTGTTCCATTGACGACTCAGACGAGACTGTGCCTAAGCTTCGCGATCCCCGTTCATGCCAGACCATACGAGCCTTTCCGCGAGGAGCATTTTGAAGACTCGGATTCCAAGGTAGGAGAGTTCATGAAAAGATTGACCAACACATCGAGGCGGGCACAAAAGACCTTGAAAGAGAATTGGGACGTCACAAAAGACTGTGCTAGTACTGAGCCTCAGGGCAATGTCCACGAACTGCGGACCACTAGCTGATTCGTTACCAGAAGACACGACACGTATTTGTTCAGCTACCAAAGCAGTTAGATCGTTCCCATGTGAGAGCTGGAGTGCGGAAGGGATTGTCTGGACAGCATGTCAGCCATCTCATCATTCGTGCAACTGAGGTAGCGCATCTCGGTGGTGAACTGTGAGGTGTAGTCCAGGACTCAAACCCTATCGGGTTACACTTGTAAGACTGAGATCAAAGGATGAACGTCATCGGCTTGTAATCCACGAAAGCAGTGGAACCACGACCTTCTAGAAGTGATGGAAATGCTTTGAGGCAAGGTAGTTGATGAGCAGTCCACGACCACAGGTACAGTAGCATATTTCAGCTGTCGAGAGTTTCTCGGACAATTGCTCGGTAGAACGAACAGTATGCTGATGAAGACCTGCACATTAATTTACGGTCGAAATGTCTGCCACCAGCGACAGAGGCGCGTCGGGGGCAGAAGTTTTTAGCACGATAGCGCAAGCAAAGAAAGCATTGGTCCTCTTTAAAGTAATCTGTGCCTCAACAATGTGGTCGGGGGACATTTTGGGCCGGAAGCCAATTTGGTAAGCAGCAGCATAAAGTCAGCACAGCTTGACGAGAACCGGAGGTAAGAGTCGATCGTGTGAGGGAACCGTTGCAAATGACGCTTAGAAGTTGGAGTAGGAAACATATAAATGGTTTAAACCCTGGAGCGTGAAGAGCGCAAATCCTTGGCATCGGTATTATGGCTACGGAATTAAGGAGCAGGCCCATCAAACACGACGACGACGTAATTTTTGAGGTCAGCACTGCAATTGGCCACCAAGGCGACAGACCACGTAAAACACGGTTGATGGACCTCCACAAAGTCCGGTGGAATTACGAAGGTCGATGGCCATACCGATGGATTCAAAAAACCCAAATGGAGTAGTAGCAACAGTTTTAGGAATTTCCTCCGAAGCAGCGGGTATCTGATGGAAGACACGTGCCAAGTGGCTCTTCGTGAAGGCCGTTTTGCTGAAAGGGGCTAAAATGAAGTCCTGGAAATGAGAAACAGGTAAGCGACCGGCAATGGTGACGTTGTTGAGGACACGACAGTCGTCACAGGTTTGCCAGTCGTCTGAAGTCACCTTAGATACCATGTGCAGAGGGGACGCCCAGGGCCCTTGGATGGTTGTATGATGCCGAGCTGCAGTCTGGCTTCAAACTCTGCCTTCGCGTTCTGCAGGCAGGCCGCACCAACCGCCTAGGCCGAGGAAACAAGGAGGAGCTTGATGTGCGAATTTGGTGTACGAAGTTGTCGGACTTCTCAAATGCGGAACAGGTGGTTGGGATGCTGGAGGAGCTCCGATAAGGATAAGCGGAATCTTTGTTCAGAACAGATAAGTTTCTGGAGGTTGTAAAGGGGTCAACTGGGGAACAGAGAGGCCAGTCTTACGTTGGAACAGTCAAGCACGTCGGAATTCCACAAAGAGATCCGACTCTGATAGAATGACCGAACCGATTATTGCACTAGGGACATCGGCAATCACGAAGACCAGGGAAGACGAATGATGGGGCCGACGTTCAGCGTCAGTGACCCTGATGGATCCATCGGTGTCTTCAGTTTACAATGTTGACGGAAGTAAAACAAGGGATTCTTTGGACAACCGGAATTATGTAATCGTTCTGAACTTGAGCGGATCGAATGATCTTATCCTAGAGGAAAGGATTTGCGTTGACGTTTAGGGGTTTCAACACCTGTTGAACAACATACTTTACTCAAAGTAGAAAGAAGCCTTCCACGCAACGTTCAGGGTAGGAAAAAATAAGCAAAATTTTACTAACACGACCTATAAAAATGGTTTAAGGCAGCAAAGAAGAGGCTAATTAGGGTTTGTTCAGAAAATTAACCTCCAAAACTCTTCTAAGAGTCCTTTTAAGCCAGACTACTCTCCAGAAATACGTCGGAAACGCCAAGAATTACTCACGGAAAAGACAGAAGTGCGGGTGAAAGAACCAATTTGACTATTTTCAGACGTAGAGTAATACAGTGGAATGCGGTGCTGCTGTTGAACCAGCCATTATTAATGATAACGGCAGCAACGTAGTAATGCAAGCTCGACATTAACTGAACTAAGCACCACCCAATGTTCTAAACGAAAATTCTTTAATACCAACACCGAAGTTTGTTTTTGAAGCTCGACAAACTGGAAATAGAGGTAGCTGAAAGATCACCGGATGTTCCACCAATAGCAGAAATGTTGCTGTCACAGGGCGTCAGCGATTGCGAAATGGCCCTACCGGAATACCAACTATTTAGGAGAGACAAAAAAAGACCTCCACATGTTCTAGGCGCCAAATCCGCCGAAGTCATCTTTCGTATTTAGGGATTTCGTTGTCTCTACTTCATCTGCAAAGTCTCGGCTTGGAGGAGATGACACTAATTCTGCAGCCCGCCACCCAGCGGGTAAACGTTTCAGCTGATGGCGAGCAACTGTCTGCATATGCACTTTGTCTGTTGCAGAGTCCAAACTATATAAAAGTAAATGTAAACTGAAAACTGAAAACTTCTGCCTCACTAGAGCAAAATATCCTCACTCTGAGCTGCGGTCGTGTCACACGTCCAAGCTATTCTCCTGAATAACCTCAAATATCGGGAAGCTTTATTAACTTAAGGTGATCCTCAAAAGTTTCCTTCTCGCCGCTTACTCGATCCTCAATATACATTTATTTTCCCAATGCCTGCAAACTGGTATTCTGCTCAATTTTCATTATTTGTACTGGGCTGACTATAAAGGTACGAGGGTCGCAGTCCTTTGAAACCGCAACCGAGGATGGATCCCGACAGAGATACTTGCCTGCTGAAGAACATAAAGGGGATTGATACTGGATCTTATTTTGTTTTCTTGGGTGACTTCGGTTCACCCGGTATCCAGTGGAGTTATGTGTTATCGAAGAGCGCAAA